TGGACCGCCGGTAGATGGGAGGAATCTATCCATACCAATACCCAGTTGCAGCTGCAGCAGCAGACCGCTCGCTACTTCTGCTGTCTGTGCGTCGCTACTTCTGCTCTCACTGTGGTGCGTGGTTCGTGCAACGAGCGGCCCGCAGGTCCGCAGGACACAAAAAAGCGGGGTACGCGGCAGAACAGTGGGGGTAACCCATTTTCGTATATCCTGCCGGGCCCCCGGTGCTCAGCAAAACAAGTTTCCTTTAAGCGCGGAGTTTCCTTAACGCGAGCGTCCTTAAAGCGGGGTCGACTGTAAGTGACTTGTGACTACCGGAAAGGCTTGTTGGACGTTGGTGCCGGCTGCAACCCGTACACGCGACGCAGGTAGATAATGAAAAACGAAAGAATAGTTTCCTGTCAAGAACGTTGGCGAGAGCGCCCGAATGGTGGCTGTGTCTCCATTTAAGAGTAGGGACGGTATTTGCCTTGCAAGGGATACTGAGTATCGACCACACGCGGTGTCGAGCTGCGTTGCGAGTTAGTCAACAGCCTAACACGGGACGGACTTGCGAAAACGAGAAACGAAGGTACGGCAAGACATAAGGACCTATGCTGCGATCCCCAAAGCCCCCCACGCCCCCCCCCCTACACCGTGAACTTGCAGTACCTGCAACAACTGGCCATCATCACGCCGTACGCGGAACTGGAGCTGGAGTATCACAGCCACGCCAACCCCAAGAAGGATCTCACGGCCGTCTACCGCCGCCGTTCGGAGCAGATGCCCCCCCTCGCGTACGAAGTCAAGCACCACCCTGGCAGCGTCAACAACCTCCTCGTACAGCAGCTTATACACAGGCGAGTGGCGAGGATCTAGCTCGTTTTGGCTGTTTTTGATCTAGGCCATGCAAGTAGCACTCATCGCGTTTGTGTTCAAACAACTTTCGAAGCCAGTTAGATGCTCGTGTCATGGGTAGGTGCACTTTGGCGTGTCCTTTTTGTTATGCGCCCAGCGCCGACTTCGTTAGCTGCTGTTATTCTGCGTTTCCCCAGCAGCAGATTTTCTGTCCGGTCCTACCAGACAGTGCGATTTGCTTAATTCCTGCTTAAGCTCGAGGGAAGGTGCATCGTCCCCCGGTCTGCGAGACACATCGCTCACAATGACGCTGCCCCCCAGCGCTCGGCTGTACGGTGCATGTTTTTGAATCTCCATCCCTCCCTCCCTCCCTTCCCGAACAACCAACGCCTGATTCCGATTGCAGGACCAAGTGCAAGGACCTGGTGGGATTTCTGATGAAGGACCTATCTTCCATCGACAGGCGAGCAGTTCCCACGCAAGCTCTCGGGGCACCAGATTCGTTACTTGCTCGGGTTTACGAGCGTTCGTTAGGGAGCAGTACAGCAGTACATGATTGATGTCAGGAAAAGCGGTGCCTGGTCTAGGGATGCAATAGTCGTGAAGTTGTTTTTTTTGTCCTGGCCTTGAACGACTATGCAATGTGGACCGTGCGAGCGTATTTGCCAAGGATTTCTGCCGTTGGGATCATGGTTTGGTGATCTCATGGCCCCGAACGCCTGCCCGCACTCATCCGAGACAGCGTCGTGTGTTTGTTCTAAACGTTGTCAGACCAGCGAAATATTATGAAGCTCATCTGAACGCAGACCCACTATATTTTTGTTACATGTATTTCTACTACCGCCCGCGTCCTTCGTCTACCAAATGTCGACGTCATTGACACACCACTTGGCATTGGAAAACGAGGGACCGTTCTGGTGCGAACGATAAAAGTTGTTTGTTGTCTTCGACGCGTCGACGCAGACCGCTGTCGGAGCGAATCATCGCGGAACTGGGGGAAGGCTTCCACCCGAAGATGCACCCCTCCGAGCTGACCGTCAAGATGGTCTCGAGGCTCACGCAAATGCTCAGGGACGTGAAGCGCTTCAAGCCGCCGGACGGGGCATGCCTCAGCCCAGCCGGGGAGTACAACCTCAGGCAGGTTTCATGCAGTAGACGGATAGGCTTCGCAGGGTTTTTCGTTTTAAGTTAACATGTTGGATAAAGCATGCAATTGGAGAAGTTTGGTAAGGTTTTAAGGGGTGGGGTCTGCGTACCCGACCCATGAAGCTAATTTCTCGCGAAGGCGGTCCGTTTCATGTAGCATCTGTACATGTAGCAAGCAAGTGGCGAGAAGATGGTGCCAAGTAGGTGCTCAAGGGGCGGGCACTCCTTGCGACTTTTTTTAAGCCCTGCGGATGTGTTAAATATTTCTTGGGCGCCCAAAGAAATGCAAGCGGTGTTCAGGGCGTGCAACACGGCGAGACTGCGTGATAGTGTGAGCGGCCGAATGCTAAAACAACTTGTCGTCGAAATTCGACGTTCGTACATGCCACATTTAAAGTGTGCTGCGTCGCTGCTTGACGGAAGTAACCGTCCGATCACGATGTCCTCTTTCCCCTCTGCCCTTGCCTTCTGCTTTCCGTCGTCTCGGGTGCCTCCTTTTGGTGGGGGTTGCTGTTGTCGTTTTGTCTTTTCGTCGTCAGGCTGGGCATCATGAAGGAAATGCAGCCCATGTACGTGGCCACCTTCAGCGAGAAACCCGCCGTATTGGAGGGACACCCCTTTGTGGTGGAAGCAGGCGTTTCGCTTGGAGGGGCAGAGGCAAGTGCTTCCTTTTGGCCCGTTTTCGTCAACATGTTTCTGTCCCGCCGCATGTGTATGTAGCACCTCGCGCTCCATGTTAGCACATTCTCCAGGGTTAAGGTGTCTGGTACAAGTAACCTCACTGGCTAAATAGTTCTGTTGTGACAGTTTCAAGAGTGAGGAACAAAGGGACTGCAAAGTCTGCACTTTCGGTACATTATCTGAATTGCGCTTCGTGGTAGCCAAGATGTTCACCGACCAGGCACGTGTACCTGTCCGTGCGATGAACCTTTTGACTCTTGACTTTCTGACGTTCGCTCGATCTCTCCCTCTCGTCACCAATCAGGTCAAGGAGGGCGTGAACGTTTATCGCTTCGCCAACCGTATCCCCCTCCTCTTCGAGGCTGGCAGCGACGTGGTGACGAGGGTGGCCATGAAGCGAATAAAGTGAGAGCTCGGTACGGGCCTGCCGTCTTGCACTCGGCCTCTCCGCCGTTGTTTCTCCACATTTTCCTTGGCGATTCTTGCCTGCATTTTTATCGCGAGAAGGGTTCAGCTCCCCCATGCCCTCGTCGATTGTGCTCAAGAACTTTTCGCTTTCGACCCTTTTTTGACCATGTGAAAATAGTTCTAGTTCGCGTGACTGCGCCGAAGATCGATCTTCGGTCCCACACGTCCGCGGGTTTCGAGCTCTCCAACTGAACAATACCTGATTCGTTTCTCTGTTGGGCCCGTCTGGCGTATTCCCGCATGACACATGACTCATGTCTGTATTTTTTTCGTGTAGGCTGGATGCACCCCCTCAATCCATCCTATCCTGTCCTACGCTGTCCCAGCCCATCTCATCCCATCCCATGTCATTTCATTTTGTCTGATCTTGTCTTCTGTCACAGCTGGAGCTCGTACAAGGTGGACCACAAGAGGGACAAGATTGGCGTATTCGTCTCGACCGTCAGCACCAAGATCCCCTTCAAGGTGAGTGCGTTCGCGTCGTTGCTACGTGCTGGTTGGCAAAGTAGACTCTTGATAAGCTTGCCCGGGCCTGGATGGGCGCTCGTCACCCTCGCGTTCACCTCATGACCACGTCGCCACGAAAGGCAGTCGCGGTACTATAGTCGTTGCCCTCCACGCTCATTTTTGGTCTCCCTAACATATGGTGCATAACAAGGTCCGTCTCTTGATGTTCACCACCGCATGGCAGGGGACGAGCAAGGAATACATCGGGGATGACACCGAGGAGATAAAGAAAGCTGTCAAGCACGCGCTGCAGCAGTGCTGCCAGCAGCTCAGGACGCACCTCCTCCGGAGAAACGCTCTACGAGACCAGAAAGAGAGGAAGAAGGTCCTCACCAAGGCAAGCAACTCATTCACGTTCGTTTCCGAGAGACAGAGAGCCAAAGCAGGCACGGAAGCACGGAACAACCTCTTGGAGGGAAGAAGAGTTTGGGGCTACAGATGGTGGTATGTCGAACGGAAGGCCTCGAACTCGCATGATTCGCCGCTTTTGTATCGTTTTCCCCCCTCCCACGTTGCAGTACATCCCCGATGTGAGCCGAGCAGTATTCGGGCTCCTGACGGCCATGCAGAAGCGTGCGCGGGATGGTGAGGAGGACAATGGCGGTGGTGCAGGGGGAGCCTCGAAGAGAGCCAGGGGGGCAACCGCAAAGGTGATTGGTTCGTTCAGTGTAAATAACCCAACAGCACATCCACATCGCGCACGCTAAGGTCGTGATTGATGGTAACCTTCCGCGGCCACGCATGTTGTCCCTATTGATTGTAACCTTCCACGGCAAGTAGCTACGGCGGCATTCGGAGGCATTGCTGAGGTGAAGAATCGCGAAACAGATTCAAGGCCGTATGCCCAACCGCATGCCGTGCTGTGGTTTGTGCAGGTACGGCGTCATCCGCTCTCAGGGTTGGTGGGTGTGATTTGAGATATATCCCAACCTGTCGAGCAACCTGCCGTCTGCCGAACATTTCGGAGACCGCAAGATGGTAACGACGCGAACGCGAGTATGTCAGGCGAAGTGAATCGTATTCGTCCTCCCACCCTACCCTTTCATCGCTACCGTCGTGTGATGTCTATTGTTTCCATGGGTCGACTTTCTGCTCGGCCCAACCAAGCAGACGCAAATCATGGCATCTCTGGACAGCAAGGAAGTCACGGAGAAGACGCTGGCGGCTGGGCTAAGCGCGGCGGTGAACCAGCACGATGCCGAGGCCGCCAAGGAGGAAAGCGCCGCTGCCGGAAGAGGAACGCACTCGCGGCAGGTGTGAGACGTGGAGTAATGTGATCGGGAATGGGTAGGCCGCACGTAGCTCGTCGTAGCTCGTCGTAGCGCTGCGGGCTGATGCGCGCCATTTGGTGAGTGACGCTTGGTGCAGCTATTGAACCTAAAAAGGAGACGAGAGGCGATCTAGACAAGAAGATCCTTCCGTGACCGTCGCCTTGACGAGATCGTCTAGTCTACACCGCGCTCGATTGTCTTACACGTCGATTGAGAGCTACTTCATAGGATAACGCAGATGAGTACAACGATGGCTCACCATCTTGATAATTTACTAAGTCGTGTGTGCAGTTATTACCACTGTATCGAACCCAACAATTCTTGACAAAACCTCCGATATACCAACGACTACAGACGGACCGCTTGCCCCCACTATCCGCTTTCCTCGGCCGCCTACTACATAAGACACTTCCCGCTGCACGCCAGGCCCAACTCGGCATCTATCGTCCCATTCCAACAACGATCGCATAACCCCGCTGACAGCGACAACCCTATCGCCAATAAAACAAATGAAACACGCCCAGTAGACTCACTCGTCCACACTGCACATCCACATATCAGCTTTGGGAAAGAGAAGGTCTCCAGATTCGTGTAAGGACCTCCCGTGAAAAATCAAACTCCAACTTATAAAAACACATCTCCACGCGGCTCCTGCACGTGGCAGCGTTATTGCATGCAGCACTGCTGTCGCACTCTTCAGAAAGAAAAAGGCTCTAGGCCAACCAGACCTAATTAGTTCGGCGCACTAACCTCCACACATGCCAAACTTCGAGAAAGCAAAGGTTGGACATATCCTGAGAGCGTACACGTCGGATTAGTGAGGCACACACAACAATTAACTAACTAGTGAACATCGCGACACCCACATGCGTCCACGACTGTTGCATGTTCTACCACGAATTGTGGGATGGGGTTACCTCACGAGAGTCCTGAAAAAAATGCCGTACCGGAAATCAACACCGTTTCACCTACAGAACTGTGGCACAGCATTACGCTAAATACCTCTTACTCAACACAACAGGGGCGTTCCAAAAAATCACAACAGGGTTCCCCGACGCCAACTATACCACAGCCTCTTGAGCGGGCAATGCTGAGCTGTTGCCCCGACGTCCCACCCCTCAATACTTTTTGCACGATTGCCTCACCCAGGATATCATCATCGCTGCGCTACCTCAAGGAGAGACGGGTGCACAACATGCACATGATGCCTTTTGGCCGACCGTCTTCAACTCCGACGCCAAGTTCTCCTTGCGACTACTGCGGAACGCCTTGGTTCCATGAAGCAGAATCGTTCTCTACAGCAAATGCAGAGGGGTGCACGAGTGCTCTGTTGGGTTCAAGACAATGATTGCACAAACGAACACGGCTCTGAAGAAGCGCTATGGGGACTTGAACAGACCCTAGAGAAGGCAGCACACATACCATGAATGCAAACGGATTGGTAAAAACAAAACAAAACAATCACCGTGTCCTAGGCGTGGCGTTCCTCTTTGTTGGCTACTTTACATCACGTGATTTTGACTGGCGCCGGAGCTCGAAACATTCAAGTACAAGAAATCAGGAGGACAAACATGTTCAGATATAACTCAGACGGAAAAGTCGACTGACGCATCCCCGACCGAGTTTTTGTCGAACTGCTCGCGTGGAGCGACGTTAGACCGACGAATCGCACCCCGACTGCAAAGTTGAGCGAAATAGAAGGCAACGTGGAAGAAGGACAGGCCAGGTTACAGCGGCGGGTAGCAACAAGCACCGGATGGCATGATACTCCCGAGTAATGTAGAATGTTGACCCAGTTCTCTGACTTTGGCTCGTGACAGGACTGGGGCGTCTGGAATGTGAATTGCAAGTACCCTCGGTACAAGGACGGCGTTCTTACGAAGCAAAATAAAACGTTCTGGTTGTCACTTGACTTGCTGCGCATTTGTTGGGGATTGATGCACGTCACGCGGGCTCCCCAACGCGAAGGAATATGCTCTGCAAAAAATATACTGTACGAAGTATGTAGCAGTGCTGTGTGGATCAAGCTGCACTTACCAGGGCAACACCAAACGCAGCCAGTGGGCTGAACGGCCCCGTGAAGTCGAGGGCGAAGACATTGTCCTCTTTGGCGCGGCCGAACTGCATGATGAATTGTCCTCGGCTGTTGTGAAGCATGAAGTTCTTGACGGACTGCTTCTTGATGCGGTCCTTGTAGAACTCCAGCACGAAGTATCCCGCCTGTGTGTGTGTGCGTGTGTTTTTTTTAACAATAGCGTCGACCGCGCTAACCGACTGACCAATGAAAAGACATCAGTTTCACTGCGGTTGAAAACACAAAACACTTATAAATGCTCTTAACTGGGACCTCGTGAGAGGGCATGGGGGAGGCTAAGCTTTTCTCCGGATGAAAGACAGAAATGGTAGCAACAGAAGAAAACTGCACGCGTCCACCGGGGTGGTTACCTACACTCGAGTTCGTTTTGGAATGCTTTCACTATCATTCGCTACCATCATTCACGTCATTTTGACAGCATTTTTTCGGAATAGTCTTCTCTGGCCCTGCGTGTGTTGTGGGTAATGTGTGTGTGCATGCCGGACCAGTATCACACGTCCCTCAGAGATGCGACGAGCGCAAGGGTTGACTGGCACCTCGTTCTACACAATCGTGTCGCCACATCGAAGAATCGAGGAATACACTGGCCATCTGCTCAGCTCTCCGATGCGCGCGATTTCTGTACCCGCAACTTACGTCTTCGTCCCATTCCGGCTTGATGCTGTGCATGCGAGGTACCGGGGTGATGATGTTGGTGTTGTCGTTGCCGAAGCTGTTGAGAAGCGATGCATGGTCTACCAAGTCATCATCACTGTCCGCCACCAACACCTGGGCACCACAAAACGCCGGAAAACGAATGTTAAACACAACCACAGGAACATTGCATCCAGTAGCACAAGGTTACTCGTGTGTGCACGCCACTTGCCACCAACATCGTCACATGTCATCACGTGTTGGCGGGGAGATCGCTCTCGTACGTCACCCATCGATTTAGGCCCCCGGTGGGTTTTGGTGTACCGAGGGGCCGACAACGATGTGCGGGCGATCGGTGACTTGTATCGCACCTCGAGCTTTCGCGGTCCCTGGAAGTCGTCGTGGCGAGTCAGGTCGATGCTCACAGCTGCAATTTCCTTGCGTTCTGGCTTGATCGTGTACTTCTCGGGCCTGCCGATACAGCAGAAGCGAGAGGTGATTAAGGTTGGGTATCAGCTCCGCTTGCGTGTCTGCAGAAGAGCCGCGACTTCGCCGGGAAGGGAGAGACCAGCAAGATCCATACCCGACACAAAGAAAAAACAGACGTTCTACATCTACAGGAGACAAAACGGGAGCTAAATTGGAATTTCCCTGCAACCTACGAGTAAGTATTTGCCCGAAACACAATTGTCAAACATTGCATTTCCCTGCAACCAAGAGCCACACTCACAGAGTTTTGTTCGCCTTGAAACCGTTGTCGTAGACGATGTATTGTCGCCGCTGGGCCACCGCCTTCACCTTCCCCAGCGTACTAGGTTCTCCTTTCTTCATGTACTCTGGGTTCATGGCGATGATGTAGCGGCCCTTGTCCTTCTTGGCCGTCATGAGCAGCTTCATTGAGGGCTGCAACGAGGAGGGCAGTTTGGCCGAAAAAGCAATGTCTCAGACTCCGCCTTGGCGTGCGGTTTCTACAACCGGGTGATACCGAGCATGCGTGTAGAACAAGTCACCCGTTCATTAACCAACCTGTCGCGACGAGAACTCAAGACAAGTGCCCTTAGCCTCCCCGAGACACTGGGCTAAAAACCGTCAACACGCGCCCATTCCCCTGCTCACCTCGTAGTAAGCCTGGTAGATTGTGCTCATGACACCCTTTTTGCGGCGGATCATGCACTCGATTACGCCTGTCTCCACCGGCTGGTTGAGGAATGCCCGCATCGTTGCCTTGGTGAACGGTTCCGTTCGAGGAGCACTGTGACGAAAACACACGTGGGGTAAGCCCAGACCAGCCACATCAACCCAGCGCAACGACCAATCATGACCGACGACGAAAAACGTGGCTACATCAAATTGCTCTATTGCGTGGTTCGTGCGACACGCAGAGGATGCGACTCACCTCAGATTCGCGCCAACTCGCGCATCGCTGGGCGACGCCTGCCCCCCTTGCCAATACGGCAGTTCCTCCTCCTCTTCCTCCTCCTCGTCCTCCTCCTCGTCGTCTTTGTCCATCTCTGCACGGATGGGCGAGACCGGGGCAGCGTCCGAGCTGCGGTCGTCCTCGTCATCGTCTACAACAACGCGCAGCGCAGACTCTTGCCGCGCCTTCTCTCTGGCCGCCGCACGCTCCCGCCGGGCTGCTTCCGCTTCGGCTTTTCGGATTCTTGCTCGCCGCACTCTCCAGTGCCGGATGATTTTTCTCGAGCTTCTTCGCTCGTAGAACGCCATCACCTCCTCAAGGTGCTCGTGCTCTGCACCCCTGTTTCATTTGAACGGTTCAGGCAGACAGAATCAGAAAATAACGATTCGTCGGTGACGCGGCCTAACAGCCGCTGCTACCACTCCTGCGCGCAGCTCAATTGGCTACGCATATTGTATTGAGTGTGGTGGCGGATCTTCCTGTCGTATGTTGTACAATACGCAAATGCCTACCAACTGCACCGACGAAGTCGGGGGACGGCCCTTGGTGAACGAGTAGAATTGACCTTTTTTTCCGTCTGCGAACTAACACAGCTCCAAGCAGCAAGGGTGCAAGCATGCTTCTATGGGAAGACCGACATGCACGCGCTTAATCCCAAGTCCTCTGGACGCCTATGTTGCTCATCCAAACTTCGATGGACGACGCAGTGTGCACAGGCACACACACACACACACACACCCTTCCATGGACCTTGATTTTTACCCGCTGGCACTGACGTCTTTTGATTGGTCAGCCGGTTAGGGCGGTCGATGCTAATAATAATAATAAAAAAAAACACACACACACTTATCGTAGCTATCGCCAACCACTTGGCATACGAAGCCTTTTGCAAAGGGAATTTCGCCGACGAAACAGCCTTGATTCGCCTGAAGGCTTTTCATACGAATAGGATTCGGAGACGATTTACTTTCGAGCTGGCTCGTTTCCTGTCCGTACGAACTCGTGATGTTTTTAAACGTCATGGACTGCTCATGGGTCAATTTCCACCCCGGCCAATAGGTTGGGATTTCGATAGTAGTACAAACGAAAACGATCATCATGATGGCGATGAGGGAAATTCGAGTGGCAACGATGAAGGAGGAGGAACAGAGGGAACAAGAGGAGGACAAGACAGAGACCAAGACAGCAGTCGAGAAGGGAATCATGGCGTGGAAGAGAGCAAGAGCTTCGAGCCAGAGGACCTCCCGCACAACAAAAGACGGAGAGACAGACAAGAAGAAGAGCTGCCAAAAAGTTGCTGCCAAAATGACGATGAGAATAGTGATGGTAGTAGTGGTGAAAGCAAGAAGAATGATAGAGAGAGCACTCCTAAACGAAGTCGAGTGCTAATAATAAAAGCACACACACACACACACACACACACACACACACACACACACCTGATGAAGATCTTGGTCCTTCCAACCTCGAACTTTGTCTTTGAGTCAGGATCGTGGCGGTCGCGGATCAGCAAAACATCCGCCAACTTCGTGCACACGACGGCCTCGCTTTCCGCGTCTCCGGGGCGACCCGATGCGGTCAACTCTCGCGGACCGAGTCTTCCATACCTCTTGATGAACTCAAGATGGGACACATTCACCCCAACGAACTTGTATACCTGCAATCGCGAGAGGTTCACGGGTTCGCATGCGGAACAACACGAGCCACTGGATAAACGCAAGCCAATGAATATCGTGAAATTGTCCATGAAACCATGCTGGATCTACAGCACACAGCAACTTCTACGACCGTGGCAAGAGACAACAATGAAGTGTTGCTCTTCCCGAACGCTATACATGGCCGACGCGCTAGACCCCGAAACCTTGCCGTTGCGACACTTCCACAATGCCTCAAATTCGCATGCTGCACGACTGCTGTTTGCAATGTAGCCAGATCATGATAAACTATGCTCACACGAGGATTACTCATGGATGCTCTGTCGTAACTTCGAACAACTACAGTCCGCAGGTTTCACTGCGGCAATTCATGGTCTAAGCAATCAGAAATAAAGGCACGTTCATACCTGCGCAGCCTCAACGATGCTGGCGGACAGCAGTTGCTGAGTCACATATTCGTCCTCGAACAACACCGGGTCGTTCTCCATGTTGGGCCGAATACACAGAATGTACTGCACCTGTGACACAACAAAAAACACTTGCAAGGGTTAGTCGTGTCCCGCAACACTGCTGCTGTACCTAGACCATCGGTTGCGGTACCGACGGAATAATCAAATCGAGATCAAGTGACCGTTCAACAACACCGCTTCTCGTGGTGACTGACGTCTGGGACCCATGCTTTCGTCGGAGCTTTGCTGAGACGTGGGCCATTCCATCCGGTACCAATTGCAGCGTACCTCGGTAGAGTGGATTCGCTCCACCAAATCCCTAAGCTCGCCCTTGAAGCGCCGTCCCATGCTCTCCCGCTTCAAGACTTCCTGCCCCCCTTCCATGACGGAAGACACGCGCTTTCCCTTACGCCTGAGTTTTTTCCGCGAAACCGACAAACGGAGATTATCGAGGTTCGGGTCATCATGCGCAAGGAAGGAGAAAGAACACAATTATGTGTAACAGTAGGGGCACCAGTAGTCTACAGTGGATGTAAATTCAAGGCCAATTGGTACTGCTATAGGACCTTTCCTTTCAACCAATCAATGGCAAGGTTTCAATCACCTGGGCTTCGCAAATCCGTTCATTTCAAACATTTCTGTAGCCTTGCTGAAGAGCTATCTCAGCAAAAGCTGGTGTTCAGCGCTGTCCACCAGGAATATCCAAGCGGTACACACACTCACGCGCCCCCTCCCGCAGGTCCGGTCTCCTTCTTCTTGAACATTGCCAACCGAGCCTGGAAGTCATTCTGCGCCGGCTGCGAGGACTCGCCCTCGTCGGCTCCTTCTCCGCCTCCAACCGCGTACGCGTATACCCTACGCAGGCATGTCGAGCATGAAACGGATATCGCAACAAAATACGAAGCATATATATATACGAAGCGCGTGGAACAGCTGTCATCATTAAACAATACCTTAGTCTCGGACTTACTGCCTCTACGCCAATGTTTCGTGGGCACTGCACTTGGTTGACTGATCGTGAGCACACACAACCAGAGGGGGAGGCCTACTGAACCGTTTCTCGCGTTAAAATCGAAGGGAAGCACAGCAGAGGGGGTGGGACATTTAAAAAGCGCCTGCTACCTTTCATGATGTGACAACCCCGGCTAAAATATGTCAAATACATACAAGGTTTAGGCTGGCGCCAGAGTAGGTGGGACGCAGACACACACGATCTGCAAAAAACAGTCCGCGTCCGCGTGCTGGGGTCGACGACGGAAAAAGCACACCTTCGGACCATGTTGTTCGTACTTGCGCCGAGCAACTTCGCGACACTGGTGTGCAGTTTATCCCTGTTGCGTTCCACGAACCCGTCTGCGTCATACTTGACAGCGTGATTGTAGTGGTGAACGGTGAAGTGCTTGAGCCTCGAGTTGGCTTTTAAGTGCTGCTCGTGGGCGACCTGGCGAGAATGCGGCACGCCGATCGAATCACGCAAGGGCGAACGCACGTACGCACACATATGTCAGTGACGGCGCTCGAGCGGGCTTGGGTTGGATCCCGCGTTTGGGCTCTACAGTAGAAGTTCCAGTCTGCCAGCCACCCGCTATCTATGCATAGCACTGCCGAACGAGGATATCTCGAGTGGTTCGCCTTCGCTCCCAACCAATTTCCGTATATTGCTGGATACAGCAAACCATTCGGGTTGTTCCTACTCTAGCGAACCACGTCCAGCTAGGAAAATGCGAGGAAATGATAAGCGGTGTGCTCAAGTCTCCTCTATGCCACGCAGTATATCAGAAAAGAGCTCCGGCTGTCTCTCCCTCGCGCCCTTGCTAGATCGATCAAACCCTATGGGTATCTACCGTCAACATGCCAACATTTGGCAGGTGCTCTAATTGGCACCATTTTGGTGTAACATGTTCCTTAGAACCGGATTGAATACGTGCTGGAATATGTATCGCCACCCAAAGATGCACCTGCATTGAACATCCTACCTTCACCAGCTTGATTCACACGCTTTTTAGCATCCTTTAGCTCGGTTCATGTCTACAAAGACACTAAAGCGGCCATTGAGTGTCGATTCTCACGTTCTCGACGAAACCAGGTGAGCTTGCCGTGCTACTAATCTGTTGCGTGCGTTGAGTCCCTCGGATAGCATTTGCACAATCAATAGTGAAGGTAATGCCGTCGGCAACTCAATCGAACGCTCCTCATTCCGCACACATCGGATGAAATTGCATTCCAAAGGATGCATCCCTCAGCCGCTCATATCCAGCGTTCCGGTCCGTGAACACGTGCATGGACCACGGCAATGCACTTCACTCACGAAATGCAAAAACTGACCTGTGTTTGAGCCTGTAGCAGGGCCACGAAGCCGCTATCTGTTCCATGGGGCAGCAGGCACTCCTCGTCAAGCATTGAAAGGACGCCCCTAAGAAGGCGAACGGAAGCCGATCAGCAGCAGCAGCAGCAGCAGCAGCAGCAGCAGCAGCAGTGTTGGAGATGTGACATCACACCTCACCTTCCCTTGTGCGTACAGGCCAACAATATCTGCCGCCGTATTCGCGCACAATACAAGTATATACTTTGCACGAGCACCGGGACAGTACCGGCATGAGGTCTGCGTATGGCGGTATCGAAGTTATCTTCCAGGAAACCAAGGGAAATTGGCAACATCCGCAAAGGCTGTAATGTAAGCCCATCGGTCATGGCAAGGTCAAGCACACCCGCAACCGCGGCCAGCTGGACTGCTCCTAGAGGAATCGCGGATCGCACCTGTTACCCTCCAAGGTTTCGAGGATGGTCGTGTTATCGCGGTACATGAACTTGGCGTGGTCAATTCCCTCCGTCTCGCAGAGCCTCTCAACCGACTTGAACACGTCCTGCGGAGTTGAACGCAAGAGTGGATTGCATGTTTGGTTGTACTGCAAAGGTAACAAGGTGGCAAAACCTTTGACCAGAGTTTCAATCTAGGGCTATGCGTTTAACACCGACAAACGCTGAGGGCTAGGGCAGGGTAGAACTTCGGTTTTACCTACGCAGCTGCGATTGCCAAACCCCACATTCTACCTGGGCGTCATTTATTCATTTCGACAAGATAGAAACGAAGACGAGTGATCAAAGTGCGGTGCCCACCTGGATGAACATTTGCTGAAGTTTTTCGCTCGCGTAGTTGATCAGCAGCTGCTCGAAACCGTTGCGCCTGAACGACTCGAACCCGAAGATATCGATCAATGAAATCGTCCCGGCGGCCTCCTCGTTCTCTGTGCAGCTAAAGCCCAAGCGCCGCGCACACACAAATAATACACAAAAACGAGGCATTGGTCGGCTGTTTCGCGCGGTTTATCCCGATCAATCAAGTACAGTCACGTCAAAGGCGGAGAGACGGACGATGGGAAACCACCACAGCAAGAAGATACACAGCTCCCCTGTGGCTTGCTAGGCAGACTTGTGAGCGCCCGATCGATCTCCTCGTTTTTTGCCTCGACAAATTACAACATCCCGTCAAAGTGTGCAAAGGCAACGGTATAACAGGCCCTGGGGCAGGGAAGGGAGCAGAAGCGACAACTGTGTAAGTAGTGACTACAATGCAACACGAGGTCACCGTGTGCCAACAGTAGCGAGCGTGAGCATTCTCGTCACGTTTTCGGCAACAGCTTTTCGAATCAAAGATCCTTCTCTCCCTAGCATCACCAGACAGCCGAGAGTAGCGGAGAATCTGTCGAGGTGATTGTCAATGTACCCACCCACGGGCTTTTGCTAACCTTGTGGCCTCGTTGATCTTTTTCAACAGGTAATTGAAAATGCCTAGGTACACATCCTTGGCCAGGGCGTCCCTTGCCGATTGCGCCTCCCCGACTTTGTTGGGCTTGACGAAGGTCTCGCGAGCCACCATCAGTGGCCGCGTCAGCAGCGCGCCTGTCAACTCCTCCACGCTCAGCCCAAGCAGATCGGCCGACGTCTGCAACGATTTCTCCGTCCCCCCGGCAAGCTTACTGGCATCATCCGTGCGGCCAGTGTCGGAAAGAAATTCCAGCTGCGCAGCGGAACGAGAGATGGTCGAAAGGAGAGCAACCGTACGGAACAAATGGCAGCTCCTGCAAGGACAAATCCATAACAACTAACATCGCAAAAGCTTACAAATGGACAGCTGCATCAAGCGAGAGTGGGCAGCGCCCCGAGGGAGCGGCTACAGCGGGAGTCAATGTACAGCCCAGCGCAAAACGAACCTGCCCCAAGTGAAGGAGCCCCCCCAACGCCTTGAAAACGTCCTTCTCTTCTTCAATCGCAATCCCTAGCTCGCGGATGGCATCCTGTACTTCCGCCAAGCCCGTGAAGTCCATGTCCTCCGCCGGCGCGTGGGTGCTGAGGTATTGGAAGTCGTTCGAAGTCTTGCCTGCATCAAGAAATGGATGGGATGGCCAAGAGGCGGGTAAGATCTACCAGGCAAACAGGATCTGCTGACGCCATGCGCTCTGTCATGGCTGACGTTTGTTATCTGAGATAGGTGTAAGTTGGTGGTTGGCAACGCTGTGTTCTGAGTGTGGCGTGATCGCGCTCAATCGGCCTTTCCTTATGATCCGTGCGTTCTTTGCTGCAAAAAAAAATTGCTGCTGTCTGGATTATTTATCTGTCTTGTCTGTCTGTCTGCCTCCGTGCGCACACATCGCGCTTCAACACCCAACCACACACGCAGACAGACACATAGGCAATACCCAAAAGCCTTACTGATTCTTACATGACACCCCGCACAGCTTGACACAACAGCTTGCTCGGCGGCGAGTGCACTGGGACAGGTTTCCTTTGTCGGCTACCGGCGTGGTATATACCACTCAACTTTTAGTACAACGACGCTCGCACATATGTCAGACTATAATAAACAAATCGCACCGATTAATGGCATTGCAGTAAGTCTGCACGCGCTCATGATAGACCAGAGGCGAGATATGCAGCAGATGAACAGCAGACACGCACAGCGAACTCCAAATGGCAATACTGCTATTGGTTTGCTGTGTGGTGCTCATGGTGCTCGGGTGTAGTTCAACGTGCTCTCGTGGCAATGTGTGAAAACAGTGAAAAAAAACAGACGTTTGCCACAAAGACACACGAGCATCAGGCGGGTTGCTGCGAGAATATTTTGGACTTCGCATTAGCGTGAGTCGCCTCTGCTTTAGTGCTTGTGCGTAATAAACCATGCCTGCGTTGTGACGTGCTACTGGCTGTGTGCACAGTAGGTACTGCTCCTTATGATTAAAGGGAATCAGCAGTTCCTCATCGCTCATCGTAAACGAACCAAGCAATTTACGACGGCAGAAGCTGAAGCGCTGCAGAATCATGGCGTTTGAGACGAAACCGCTGGCGAGCGAAACCAGCTTCAAACTTGCTGAACCCACCGCCTCGAGCGCATGACATGGGAACCACATGTGGGTACAAACATGGCGCTAGCGGCAGCAGAAAATAGCGAAATTAATCTGAGAAAGATGTGGCATGGTCGTGGTGTGCTAGGCCGTATATATCATATCATACCAGACCTGACAGGTGAAGCGTCTTTTTGAAGTCTTCGTCGTCCGAGCCCACCATCTGGTAAAACACGTGGAAATTGCGCTCTCGAGACGACCGAGACACCACGCGACTCTTTTCCAGGAGGTAGGTGGTGTTGAGCGATCCGACCATCTTGGGGATGTCCCCGTCGTCGAACTGCAGCTGCGTTACTACTCCGTAACGACTGCTGTTGTTGTTGCCCATCTGCATCACAAAGAAAGGGAAGAAACGCGCACGGCAGTCAAAAACCAACAACCCCTAACGGGCGGAGGGTGCCTGGAAATACTCAAGCCGCCGGCAACGAAAGCGTGCACGAATCCCTTGTTATCTCCAAAGACTTTCGCCACTTCAGGAAGATGAGAGCACGTGAACCCACAAGCGTGACCGTGGAAGGCCCTTTGGGTGACACAGTGATACTGATGGCGACCACGTCCTTCAGATCTCGGACGGAATGTTGTTCCTGACAGGCAATACAGCAACATACGTCGAGGGAGGCAACCAGCACCAGAAAATACTTACGCAACACGATCGGGGGCTGCCGGGCGGTCATCGCAACGACGATCCGGTTGCGAAATGTTCTTCAAACGCGCAACATAGCGCGTCCCGCAACGGAAATCCCACGAAACCCCGTGATACGCTGTCGGGAATTTGGAGTCTTGCTCACGACACGACATCGAGCTACTGGGCATACAACTCGATAGGGACTTCGTGAGGGGGAGCAAAGAGTTCGCCGCAGAATCTGCAACACAAGCGAAACGCGGTTTTCAACCGTTTGGAGGCGTCCTATGTGCACGCCATTTCTCCTTTCTCACGCTCTCCTGAGACTGTAGGCTTGTTCCAAACAACAGTCATCAAACAATAGTGGACTGACTGCTTGTGAGATCGACGTCAACACTTTATCGAACAAAGACATCACGAGCACGAGGTCGCGAGAAGTTGAAACAGAACCGCAAATCGGGTAAGGACGAACCCCTAGATGGTTTCCCGTCGGATTTCAACGCGACCCACATGCTTCCGTTTTGAGGTCATACGCCTTTTTCATGTTTCGGTTAATGCATTAAAATGGCATGGAAAAGACACTGTCTCAGCTTTGTGTCTTGCGGTACGTCGCTGGGTGCCGTAAACTCAGGCGAGAGTTTCCAGTCTGCAAAAACTTGAGCTGTCCAACATCAGAGAAACTCCGTCTGCTGGCGTTGAGATGTAGGCCGTTGTTGGTATACTTAGGAACCTTCAGTTTTCGACAGGCAGCAGCTGTGAGCGTCAACGAGTCCCAACTGGTTCACGGTCGCGTTGAAGTGGCCTTAGTTGCCTAACGGCCGGAGTGGATACATCCACAACAGCCCTCGGCCTCTCGCAATCCTTCAAGCAAGCTTTGCTGTGCGCCGTCGGATGAGAACCACTCAGCCTACCGGAGTTGGGCACAGCGATAAAATAGACTCTTACATTCAAAGGTAATAACTTGTTTGGTCAGTTCTGCTGTAGACGACTACCGGTATGGCACTCAAGGATAAACATAAGCAAGCGCCGCACGCACTCCTTTCTTCCTGTGGCAAAGTACAAAACACACGCAAACCAAGCCCATTCCCCATGGCATCTTGGACGGATGGACTAGGACAAACCACATAGAGTCAGTTTGGAAAGGGAAAGGGCTGTCTGAACTGTACATACAAACAGTATCCAAAGTTTCCCATCCTTGCTCCTGCTTTTCTGCGACTGACGCCATAGCGTTCACCAGGGTCGCTCATCGTATGCAACCGCACACCGGAGCGCTTTATATTTGATGTACGACGATCATGACCAAATACGTCTGCTACTGGACGGGACAAATCCGCATTTCATCTCCTCTACCTTAAAAACAACACGACGCTCTTAGCCCATCGTTAACGAGCCACTTTTCCCGATATTTTCCCCGATTGCGTTTTGTTTTTCCAGGAAAGCTTTCATGTCAATATCATTCTCACGTCTCCATGAAAAAAACATGCAACCGAGCGAAGGAAAACAGGCCTCCTTGCTTTCTGCAGGGGGGGGGGGGGGTTCACGGGNGGGGGGGGGGGGTTCACGGGTCGCGACATACGCTCTCGACAACAAAGGTAGTAACTTCGATTTTTCGTGTATCTGCAGAGATTGAAACTGGGGCAACGCGAAAACAAGATAAGCACACCACCACGAGAATATCTTACTTCTGTGAACGACCGACAAAATCGTCCATATATACTCATCATCATCACCACAACACAATGTAGTCAGCAGTAACATTTATGTTATGTCGGAACAACAATAATCACGGCAACAGCATACTCCAGAAAGTTCTGCAGCCAAGCACTGAGCCATGCATTTGAACGACTGCCAAGTTTTGGTCCAACTCCCAAAAGGAAAATAACCTCCGCCAAAAAGTGATGTCTATCTTGAGCAAGTCCAAATCAACACCACCATGCTTTACGCTTTGCACAATGGCCCGTGGAACAAGGTCGTCGCCTGGACCTGCCTCTCTACCGTATCTCTCTGCGCCTCTCACCATGACCGCGTTTCCAAAGCTCTCCAGCACCACTGTACACTCCACCATGTGCTGAATGCGCTCGCTACCCACCCCTCCCTCCTCCGACCCAGCCACGGACGCCAAATGACCTAGCAAGAGCTTAGCCGTCTCCGTCTTCCCCGCTCCTGACACACCGCTGATCAGGATGCTCTGGTCTTCCTGGCCCTCCAGCAGCGCGCTAATCCACCACAACACAAGAGCAGTTGATGACGAACCGAAGAGATAAAGAAAGAGATTGGCACTTTGACACGCGCACCAACTATCGGAAGCCACGAGGGCTACTCACGAAGGACGTAGTCACCTCTTTGGACCGCGACCGCTTCCGGACGTTGGCCACGAAGAAAGCTGAAAGGACTTTCGCCGCAGCAACCAATCGGGATGGTGCCACAATATTCAAAATTTCGAGCTGAATGCAACATATCACGGCGTGAAAACTGCTCGCGGACACATGATAGTACTGCGTTGGGGTGTTCTGCCAGTATAATGGTTACGCGACTGTCTGCGCCAGCAGCATGTATATGTGGTGACTGATAGGCAGACCTGGAATGCGCTGAGCAGCAAAATTTCAGAGGGGTTCCGGAAAGTGTTATGGTACCCCGGTGGCAATTTGGTGAATATTTTCCTAATCTTCCATGGGGTGCAACATACAATAATAATATGTTATTCCGAAGCATATTATTAATAGTCGAAGCCTTTGATTGTTGGTACGCATACTAGCACACGAAGAGCGAGCGAGACGTGCAACATGCGGACCTCTTGGTGGCTTCCATATCATGGTCTCATCGCACGCAGACCCAAATCGAGCTCTACGTCAGGGCTGTCTGCGTTAGAGCCGGGTCTTGTGTTGCTGGATGGAGCCAGTTAGTGCCTTCCACGCGATGGCAGCTGTGCTGCTTCCAAGTACTTCATGCCTTCCATTTAATCAAACCCATCAGAGCACTCCAGAATTTACACTGCTGTCTTTCTTCGTCACGTATTTCGAGAGTCATGCGCGCAAAAGTCGCCAACGAACAGAAATTGGAGACAGCGCATAGGAATAGGCGTGCACTCAGAGGTCTGCTGGTTATATGTATGGCGTAGACTAGAATTGCCACCCCGTGTATCGTATCTAGGAAGTAGTCAAGAATGTTTTAAGATTAAACAACTTGCTACGAAAAACATGTTCCACTTACGAATACAAACATGAAAATTCTCCATGCGCCGCACAGCACAGGCACAATGTGCAGCTCATGTTCCCGCTCTGCTGTGCGGCCTCCACACTAGCTAGGCCTCAACCTGCTGCGCAAATATCAGCTCTCGCTGCGCAGCCCGGGAGACGGTCCGAATGGTGCATCATGGAAGTACTACTTCCAGCAATGTGCGAAATGTGCGAGGTTGAGCTGGCACCATCGCAATCATCGAGTTACGAATGCCATGGGGGTAGGTAAACGCCATCCCACCCCCACAACAACTGTAGTAGACTATTGTCTGCAGGTTTCGTGCAGGGTAGTGGGGAAAGGGGAATCTTCCGCACCCACCCAATCCTTTAGCACAGATGAAAGCGGGGGGGAGGGGGGGGGCAGACTTTTCGCAAACGCACGCGGGTACAACGTAACGCCCGCCGGACTGGTGCTGCTCTCTGTTGGTTGAGCACACACACAGCAGCAGCACACCAAGCAGTCTCCAAAAAAAAAACATTCGGTACAACAGCCCAACGACATCCGAAAAACCATCGTCGCACCCGTCGCATCCGGGAGCCACCGAGGTACCGCCCGGGAGAGTTAAACAAAAACAACATCCACACACAACACGTACACATTGAAGAGGCATGAATCAAGCTGACATGAACACAGAGCCTCTTTCCCTCTACCCTCACCGATAGGCAGCAGCCGTCGATTTGTAGATGTGTGCCGGCAGGTCTCGCCGACCTGGTTCTTGGTAAGCCAACCCCAGGTCATCATCGTACAGATCAAGCCACTCGAACGGGTTCACGGCCACCACAATATTTCCGAGGGAGGTGTACGGCCTTTGAACTTTGAAGCGCTTGTGCAAATGTGCTGCGATAGTGGCCTTGTTGTAATCATCGAGCTGATTCAGGTCCTCCTCCGGTACCGCTCGCTGTGATTTGATTTGATTTGTAATCCAAGCAATAAAACAACAAAAAGACGTGTGGCGCGTGCAACATGCAACCAGCGATAATCATCAAAGCATGACACCGGGAGCATGGCCTCAACTTTCCACACTCCACAACGTACACGAAATGACAGCGATATCGACCACTGCCGGACACAACCTCGCTATCTCAATCCCACCCCCGGTCGGCGCAAAAACGGGGAAGAGATGACCGAGATGAAACGCGCCGTCCGTCCAAAAAGAAGAGTTGCCCCCAGAGTGGGAAGGAATCATTCTGATACGAGAACCGCCAAGCGCGACACCAAGAATACGTGCACCAACCCACACAAAGACATCCGCACCTCAGCCGAGAAACGACTCATGACGGCCGGAGACAACCTTCCTCGTGTGCTCCTCCGCACACAGCTTTGAGGGGAGAGAGGAAGAGAGCAAAAGAAGAGAGAAGAGACACACAGCAGCAGAGAAAATATGAGAGAGATTCGGGGGAGCCGCAATATAGAAACAAATACACACACGTATGCTATGTGCGGGCACCAACTCTTTGGGAAAAAACTCATTTGCAGGCCCGATCATCGCAACATTTTTTCGTTGGCGCGTGTTGTTGTCAAGGGCAGCAACAGCGCCACCAAGGGCAGAGGGACATGCGCAAAAACGGGTGAGCACGCCAATCTTGTCATAGTCAGCGTTATCCAGTCCGTGCATGATTCGCACCGAGAAAGAAAAAGCTTGGTCGCCTACTCATTCCGCGGGCAAAAATTGGCAGTTCGGGCCACAGGCGCGGGAAACGGGCACTGCACCTTCTGTTGACCCCTGCTGTGTTGACCCTCCTCCAGCTACATAGCTATGGTCCTTCACGTAAGTTATGGAGACTGCGTCACCACCGAGTTGGCTAAATCGCAGGCGCAACATAGCTCTTTGTCGTTATCTTTCTCTCTCTTGCCCCCTCTCTCGCTCTCGCTCTGTGTCTCTACCTCTGCCACATCACTCTGTTGTCAAACTCTTTGCTTACACCCTCTGTCCTCTCTGTGCCATCTCTATTTGCTGACAGCTTTGAGGCTCCCCTGGAGCCTCTGCAGGTGCTGACATGGGTGCTGTTGCTTCTCATCGTAGGAGGCTTTTATTCCTTCATCGTCCCGGCACTTGAACAAGTGTGGGCGATGGTCGCTGGCCTGGTGTACGGGGTGTTGGCCTCATCAACAGTCCTTGCCGGCGTATTAGCCTGCTTGAGAGACCCGATTGACCCTAACGTCCGCCGCTTCCACCAGGTAAGATGGATGCATCGACTTCTTTTCGGCCGGGGGCAAGCGGTGGGAGGCCGACAGGCTCATCCCACGTAGTTGCTTGTGTGCAACGTTTGTTTTGTATTCGAACCAATGTTCCGCATCTGACCCAGTCTTTTCCTTTCATGTTGGTGTGTGGCTCGTCTCTTTCGGGACATGCTCCATCACGTGGGGTTTTGGGCACTGTCTGACCAGGGCGAAACTGCGGCGGGGTCGGCGGCCGACAAAACTTTCTGTTTCCTTTGCCAGCTGCACGTGAACAAAGGGAGTCGCCATTGTCGCTACTGCGACAAATGCGTCGATAGATTCGACCACCATTGCAAATGGTGAGTTCGTGTGCCTGGTCGCACGAGAGCAAGTTGTGTTCCCCGCAACCCACAACACTACTACTGGAGTACATGTAAGCTGCATCGAATTCTGAGTAATGTCGACATAATCCGACTCCTGGTCAGGGAGCTGGGAAGAGTTTCCATCCTCAACCACATTCGTCATGTGCCGCTATTTTCTACTCTATTAATTAGCATTTTACTTCTTTTTTTTATGCTGCCAAGAAATTGCGTAAAGGTGATGGGAAGTTGCTTCATTTATTGCGCCGTGTTCCCTGTGCAGGCCACATGTAAATGTACCTAGACGCAGATGTTTTTGTGCTAAGCACCAACTGGTATCACTGATATAAATCATCAGTGTATAGGCTTAAACAAACTCGAAATAAGTCAAGTACCCAGCTGGTTTTCCTCTACTCACTGTAAAGACTTCAACACATCCCCTTCGAGTGTAGTTATACCTCGAACGGGTAGTCTTTCTGTGTGTATATTTGTTTCTCCTAATTTATTGAAAATTTATCTGGCCGATCCGAAACTTACTTGAGTACAAAAGAAATACAATCTCACAGAGTGCACACATTCGATATATATCCACGACTGGTCGAACGGGGTGCGTTGAAACTCATGGTGAGAGGACACCTGAGGAAACCTTGCCAAACTCTTGCTGGCGATTCGGCTGCAAGTACAAAAACACTCTGAGGCGAAACGCGGCTAACACGATCTAATTTTATTCACAGCACTTGCTTAATTCGTTTTTTTCGCGTGGTTGGCTTAGTTTCACTAAATACAACATTGTCCTAATGTTGCAAGGTTTGGGGGTCTCGTAAGTGCCATGGCGTGGCACCTACTGGTACACTGGTTAGTGCCAGGTACTGTAGGATGGTGGAAGGGTTTAGGGATTGGGGTACGTGGTTGCGTTGGCTTCTCTCGCACATTTACATACGGTCGTTTAACTTTACCATCGTCATGCTATTATATATAATAGTGTACTTACCTTTTGGTCATCTCGGAAACCTAGATAACACAAAATGGGAAATAGTAGTTCGATCCTCTCTCTCTGGAAGCTCTAGGACTCCTTTGACTACAACCTGCAGTGTGGAAAACGATTGGTCTCATGTCTCATGAGTTCGCACATAGCCTTCCTCACGATCGAATCAATAGGCCAAGAGAACAAAAAGGGCAACGACACAAGAGGGTATACATGCCCTGGTCAAGACGCGCCTCAGCTGGGTATTTGGCAGCGTCAAACTGGCCTTGCTGATTGTTCAACGTCCATGTTCACCGTTTTTGAATACCCTGCCACGGCTACGGTTCTCCAGAATTTTACCCTGATTTCGGAAACGTACCCTGACCTGACGGAAGATGGACGTCTGGCATCGGCCAATCTCCTCCGCAGGAGCGCTTTTCGGCTCCAATTACAGGATACCAACCATGAACTCTTCCACGCGAAACAAAATGGCTGGCACTCAAAACAATCCATTGGGAAAGCATGCGAAGCGCTGTATGTGAGGTATGCGAAATACGAGTGACGCTCATAACACGAACGATCCAGCATGGTTTGACACGTTCGATTCGAAGAGATATATGTGCGGGTGTGTGGCGGCGAGCTGATGGCGGTGGAGAGGTGGAAGGACTCACTCACAGGCTGAATCATCATGGGAGTTAGTAAACTACCCTACCTAGAACACAGGTTGCTGGATGCTGTATAGCCGACAGATTGTGCGGAGGAGCGGAAGTAAGAGCTTCCATCTGAACCTAGTGCTGGTGAGGATTTGTGGGATGTAACTACCGGCAGTCGACAGACACAATGGTGTAGTTGCTGGTGTGGGATGACAAGGCGGGAAACTTGGCCGCCACTCGCTCCGTCCATGACGGTCTGCGTGTGTGTGTCCTTCCGCCTCTCTGCCACTATGAGCTCGCCGCCACGCATCCGCACGTCCATCTATCGACCAACAGCCTTACTGTTTGTAACCATGCTCCATAGGTCGTGTTCTGAGCGCGACTCGTATCCGGCGTTTTGTTTTTGCTCAAAAAGTTTGGACCACAGAAGTTGACAGGGTTCGCCATAGGGAAGTGCCGACTACCCGGCGGGCTTACCCGACCCTTGCATTTCTGTTCCAGGCTCTCTCTCCCTCTAGCCTGGTGAAGACTGCCATTCCAAATATTCCCGTCATTTTAAGTTCAAACGACGTTGCCGGTTGATCTCGCTGTCGTGAGCGACAGGGGTGGTGGGTGTGAGATCGATCAAGTCCTAACTTTGAGCTCCTGTTCTGCGCTTCTGCCGTGTCTACTACAGTCTGTTGAGCTCTCTATTATTTCTGCCTCTTGCCTAGACTCTCCAGACGTTCTCTAATACTTTCTGACTCCAGTGCTCACTCGTATCCACTTTTATCCCCTGTTCCCCTACATTTCATATGCCTTCACAAACTAGAATTCGAAACTTCTCGCATCCTACCGACCTCACAACATGGTGGTTGGATCGGAAATGAATCCCTGCTGAGGAATCGACCGATGAAGGGGTTCCATTTCCCGTCATATCAGGGTACATTCCCCAAGTTAGGGTACACTTCTGGAGAAGAGTAGCCGTGGCAAGGTATGCAGTACGGGCCCGCAGTTACGGAATATTTTTGAGGACAGGCTCCAGTTTTTGATGAAAAACGCGCAAGGGTGTATAGAAACACAGCACAGGAATGGATCTTATACTTATGTAACGACCTGTGCTCGACAGCAGTGGCGATGAAAATATGAAACTGAGCCTCGACCCGATTTTGGCGGTTCTTATCTCCGGACCCGTGCTTACCCCGAGCTATTTGGGACACGGCATGGTGAAAGTGGACATTAACCAATCAGATGGGCTCGTTTGACGCTGCCAAATATTTGGTACCCTGTTGTGTCGTTTTCCGATAACAATCATGGTTACCGCCCGCCCCCCGACTGCGGTGTACCATATTCTTCCCTCTCCCGCTGAAAGCTTCAGGAAACGCCTACCTCTACATCTTTTTTAAGAACTCATGCGAGCTTGAGCAGCCCCATCGATTAGACCTGCCGCTTATCAGTTTAGACCTTTTATCGCCAGATCGAGGAGCTAGACATTGTGCGATTTGAGCACAATCTTCCCGCACAGATTTGTGGTGAACAAGCGCAATAGTTATCGACAAATACAGCACGCCACCAAGAAATCACAGCGCTTGAAAGTGACAGAGCCTACCGATGTAGTGTGCGAGTGACGTCGCATGACATGACAGCAACGGCAGGAACCAGAAACGACTCTAGAGGTTCCCGTGAAATATTGTAGTTTGGATGCAGCAGCCTGAGTTTTGACCAAATGGCCGGATCGTCATGGTACAACGTTGACGCGTCGCCTCTTTGTCCACGTGTATATCCCAAAGAAACAAACGCATTGAACGTCAAGCAAGCTGTTATAGTTACAATACCGCGTGTTCTTGTCCGCAAAAAAACGTCGTCAACGTTTGAGATGGATCAGTTTGATTTTTCAATCAACGGCCCAACTTCTCTCGATTTTACGTCCCCTCCATTTGATCCTGCTTTTTTGGAATTCCTGACTCTACCTTGAAGTTGTTTCGTTTTGCTTGCGAAACGACATTGCCTTTGATAAACGTCTTAATTTTGTGAGAAACCGGGCGTAGCCTAAGAAAAGTCTGCGCCCCCGAAATTTACTGCTTATCGCTGTGACACCTAACTTGTTGACTGTTATGTTCCTCCCCCCATGTTTTACAGGCTTAACAATTGCGTGGGCCGCAGCAACTATAGGTATTTCGTTACTCTTTTAGTATCGACGTTTTTCATGACCTCGATCCAGCTGGGAATATCATCATGGTTTGCCGTCATGTATCACTCGGACAACGTGGCATTCAGCGATAGAGGTGCGATCTGATTGGGTTGCACTGGTTACGGGTGGACTGCTACCGAAGTTGAATGTGAACTAGTTCGAGGACCTGGCTGGTTCAGCTTTACCCGCTTTTCGTTCGCCGTAGTTTGCGGGAACTGTGCGAGTAGGGTAGCCTGCGTGGTCTACCGTGGTTTGTCGTAAGCATTGTAGAACCGTTGCCATTCATACACAGCCCCGCGTACAACCGATTACGCCACGGGCATGTTTGACACTGGAACAGAGCAGTAGCTGGTCCCGCCCATTCCCTGGGGACTTTCGTGGAGAGTGGCTGGTGCTCCCCAAGCTATATCCCACTGTTGGACGGTTCATTTGATTTATTTGACTGTGTGTGGATGCGTGAAAGTGTCGAACCGAACCGGCACCCCGGTGCTGATGCAAAAGTCACAGCCGAAAGTGCACGGCTTGAGGGCCGCCGTGCCCAGCACCAGCCGCTGCTGGCAGCGCTCAGCGTCACAAGTCTGTAGAGCTCATGCATTCGTCCTCGCGTATGGGTTGCTTGACTGTAGGAAATGATTGAACAGGCGGAGGGTGCTGCCGTAGGGGACACAAGATATTACAATTCCTGGCCCGATGTTGAGAGCTCGAATACTCCACAGCAGAAAGAGCGGCGGTGTCGAAAATGGCGTTTGAATCGTTTCGTCGAGAGCTTCCGAAAACGTACCGTTTGATGTATATGCCCGTCGTGGAGTACTTGAGCTTTGAAATCGGTCCAGGGAGTGTGCTATCTTGCGTCACCTACGGTGGTATTGTTGAGTACTGGTTTCCCACCTCGTGCTCCTGTCCAATCCATCAAATGCCGCACGTGGACCTTCAACGCAATACCTCCGTCTGTTTCCGCTTGATAACCCATCTGTGCTTGCTCTCTCGTCTGCTGTGCCTTCCAGTCGAGGGCAGATACGCACGATTAGGAGGGACAGGACATATTGTGCTGGTGTATGCGTTTGCTGTATTGGTTTTACCTTTCCTCGGGCTTTTGGCGCAGCTGCTGGGATTCCACATCATGCTGAGTGAGTGTCTTGAGGGGAAATCAGGTGGCTGTTGCTATCGTGCGCTTCTTTCCTATACCGCAACGCAGCACGTGCTATACATAAAGCAGTACGTGCAAAAGAGCCTTGGCGAGCAAGCGCAATTTGGCGTTCATGGAATTGTTTTTCGATGGCCGTATGCATAAATGTGTTGCCCTAGCGACACCTCTCACGGACACGCTGCAGGCAGGGAGAGGTCCATAGGTGCATGCATACATCTAATGTTGCCGGCGATTGACTAGGCCGAATGATCCTTCTTGCAGAGAATTGAGCTCACAGGTGCCTTCAACTGAATGAAGCCCCCAATGTTGCATACCCGTCTTTTCACCCTGCCAACCTGCTCTTCACGTGCAGTCTCGCGAAATTTGACAACGTACGACTACATCGTACAAGAGCAACGGAAAGAGCGGGAACGGAAAGAGCGAAGAAGAATATTGGACAAGGTGATTGAAGTTTTGTGCTTTTGGAGCCTGATGACGTCAGCTCGATGGCGTGTGATGTCACCTTGTTTTGTCTCCGGAAAGCATACATGTTTTTGAACAAGACAAAGGTGCGCAAACAGCGAAGAAACAAATGTTGCACTCCTACGTATATTCAGATAGCCTGGAGGGGGCAGGGGGAGTCATGTAAAACCTAGCGACTTCGCAAACAAAAAATGATCATTTTTTTAATATATCTCCCACGTTCGCTCAGAGGTTCTCATATGCCGCTGATTGATTTTCTTTACAACCTCCTCTAATAGAGCCGTTTTCGTAGTTTGATTTGTGCACCCTCAACTTGTTTTTGTTTTTATTTCTACACTCTCGACATGTTCAAGAAAAACTTGGCACTGGACTGCCTGTACTGGCGAAAACCTGAGATGGATTGCCGCGAGCTTCTTGTTGAGATCTGTCGGCCTTCCCAGGAAATGCAGAGTAGCCACAGCTCTAATATGTTATATACCGTCATCATCATTTTTGTGCCCCAAATCGCAGGAAAAGTCGGGTGCGCGCCGTCCATTGGCGTGCTGCGTATCCGGTGAACGGGGGGGAGTGGACGCCGCCGCTCCCACGAAGTCGGGGCAGGCATTGGTGCCATGACTTCCAGTTGTAAAAACTATGATGCGCGCAACGAAAGCGTGTTTTCTGTTCTGTGAGTTCACCAAACTCTTGTTGCGTCTTTTCAGCTGTGAAGATCTCTTTGCACGTCTTGTAATGTTGTCAGAGCATTCCATGCTTCCAGATTAGTGTAGGATAGTGTAGGCTTGAATTTTGTTTTTTGCACGGGTGCATGCATTGAGTCATGGATTCTGTTCGATGTGCTGTAGTTGCTTGATTGTAGGGTTGGTATATATATATTGTTGTATTAGTCGCTGTCACACTTGAGGCCTGACATATTCGGCGGACGCCCAATGACGAAGAAGGCAAGCAAGCCAAGGCTGTTAATTAATTTTGTTTGGGTCCAATGATCATACGCCGCACGCAGCTACGTGTTCCGGTAAGCCCGGCAATCAATCCTCGCAACGCAACACAAGGAACAAACAGCCGAGCCGTGCCGTGTCCGAGCCGTGCCGTGTCCGAGCCGTGCCATGTACAAAACACGACCATCGTCCCATTATCAGAACTACTCAAACGGAACGGCAGGGTTACGTACGTGCGGCAACTGAATCGGGCTACGGCGTGCTGTCAAACGCAGCTAACCGTATGGCCGTAAGTTCACGCCGCCGACCCGACAATGGCCATCCTGGTCTACTTTTGTGCATCTTCGCCCCGCCGAGAGTGACTAAGCGCTGCAGCTTTCTTGCTGGCGCTGACCATGAATTGACGATGGCGCTTCTTTTTTTTGTCGTACTTCGAGACCGTTTCGATCCCATCCCGACGGGGCGCTTCTCTTTCGCGCTTTTGACGGTCAGATCTGCGCTCCTTTTTCATGGTCAGCATCCAGTCTGGCACCTGCACAGGCATGATTGATAAAAATGTCCCATGGCACAATGGAGTAAGTTGCGCTCAGTCGTACACTCATGCAGCACCCACACACTCGGACTGTGCAGGAGACGCGCACGACACCTCCTGACCGCAGTTAATTATCTCTCAGCGTTGCCTTGAACAAATTCCCCTGAGACGCGTTTCCGCCGAGCTTCAATGAAAAAAAATACAGCACGCGTCCTATTCATGCGTAGCGAAGGCAGAAATCGTTGATTCTCGCACAGGGCGGCAGTAGAGGCTGCTCAAACAAACATTTCACGCGCCAACCTCCACACGCCTCCTTTTGAATAGCGTTTACCACAGCGAGTAATCAGCGAGGATCAAGTAAACGCGATGAAAAATGCAACTCTTACCTTACAGCCACTTAGGCGCATGACGTTGGCAATGCTGCGGAGGGAGTCCATATCGGATTCTGTGAAGAGGGTCACAGCCACGCCATGGCGGCCGGCTCGGCCAGTTCGCCCAATGCGGTGGATATACGAGACGGCGCTCTGTGGGAAATCGTAGTTAATGACCATGTTGACCCCCTGAAGCATACACAAGTCAACCGACGACAATAACAGCAAAGAAAAGAGGAAAGACACTGTTAGGGGTGTCAAAGCGGAAAACTTCTTATAGGAAAAAAATCGAGAAAGCGTCCTCGGATCTTGCTGATGGAAAATCGACCAACCAATGAAATTGCACGGAACCGTCGGAACCTCCCGAAAAGACCCTCTGACGCACACGCGCGAGGGCGCGGCTCGCCTGTGTGCTTTGCGCCCTGCTATGGGGCACAGCGGCACAGCACAACAACATTGCGCGGTCCCACTCTAGAGCACATGCCTCATGACATACCCGAGCAGCAGCCGGGCGGTGAAGCCACGCAGACACCTGCCGCCGCCGCTGCTGCTGCTGAGAAAAACAGCAGCAGCAGCAGCGGCGGCGGCGGCAGCGAGGTTGAGCCTGGCTCTCTTCCACAATTTTCTTTCTTTTGACCAACTCTTCTTTCGTTTCCTTCAGCGTTCTCTCTACGACGGTGAGGCTGCCGCGTTCGATAGCGCGCCGCGTGTTATCTTCTGCTGACGCGGCAACCATACACTGCCCCGTCCTCTCTTCAAGCTTCTTTTTGTTTTGATTCAGCTTTTGCGCAGCGCGCCTCCTGCTGCCGAACGGCGCGGACCTCGATTTTTTTTTTGGGAGGGTCTGCTGTTGTGGGTGCTGCAGCCCCATAGGAGGGGCCGTTTTCAGACATGTAGATCTCGTGGTTGGCTGATGCGATTCGGATGTGGTTTGTTGTGTAGTATAGCTGTAAACCCAAGGTAGAGGGCTATTGGGTCGCTTTTTCAAGAGGAGCAAAGGTCGCCTTGGGCGTGGAGCAAAGAGCCCAAAGAACCATGTTTTTTTGGTGTTGTTCGTCCGCCCTTTAACTTCAAGATAATCCAATCCTATAGTCACCTCTATTGGACCTGTATCAAGGTGTGTGTAACGCATGAAGAGCCATCCTGCTGTGTGGACGCAGAGCTACCTGTACAAACAAATTGACTTGATGTATAGTTTATTCAGTATTAACAGCGGGATTCTCAAGAACCAAAAAAGAACCAAATCCGCGTGCCCCCCTCAAATTTTGCCGAATGGACCGGACGTTTTTTTGGCCCCAAATTCCGCCGCTTTGACACCCCTAACTGTGGCATCAGGGAAATACTTCGAAAACCAACCACTAAAATGTGGTACAAAATCTCGAAGTATCCTTCGAGCAACTTGGTTGCCTTTCATCACAGCACATCACAGTTTCTCTCTCACCTTGAAGTCAATGCCTCGTGCAACAAGGTCCGTGCAGATGAGGACCCAAATTTCACCGGTCCTAAAGCGTTGGATGATGTTGTCACGCTGGTCCTGCAACGGCAAATATGTAGACAATCATGCCTTGCGGGCAGGCACCTTGAGACAAGCTGAACTAATCGCCCGACAGCTACCTTCGTGTACTTGAAGGCCCTACAGATTTATACCGTTCAGCGTCACCATGTTGTAAAGAGTAAATGCCGAAGTTCGGAGCACAACCAACTTCACAGCATCGACACAGGCAACGTTCTGAACCACTGCACACCTGAGTTCGACTGGCGTGCATTACGTCCGTGTTGATGCCGTCGTACACGAGCTCGTGGAACAGTGCCTGCAGATGAAACGCGAAAGGAGTTGGGAGAACACGACATGACGTTAGGTGATGCCAATGAGCCTGCTTCCGCGGGTTCATCGTTTCGGTGAGGGCTGCTGCGTGCATGACGTACCTTGGCACGATCCTTGGACTGCAGAAACACAAGGACAGGAGGGCGCAGTCCCTCTTGGACCAGCTGCCGGACAGCTAGCAGTTTGCCTTCCTCCCTCCCCACATACACCAGGCGCTGGTCGATGTCTGCCGCACCAGAGTTTTGAGTGCCCACCGTAAGGAATATATGGTCGCGGAGGACGCTTTCTGATAGCTCCTTTACCTGCGGGTAGAAAAAAAGAGAGAAACCGAGTTCTTGCTACTTTGAAAAGGACCAAACGTGGGACGAGAATCGCAGCATCCAATGGCACGGTAGGCAGCATGCGGTGAGCGATGTGATGGCTACAACATGCCAACAGAAACAACGAAAGCAACGCGTCTACGGCGCAACATGGCAGTCACACAGCAGTACATACCTGCTGCCCAACGGTTGCGCTGAACAATGCCCTCTGCACTTGTTGATGAGAGCAGGCCGCCAGCACTTCGTCTACCTGGCCGATGAAAGCTTTGTCACTACCACCAGACGCTGCTCCTGCGTCAAAGAGCTTATCAGCTTCGTCCAGCACCACCATTTCGACGCTTGCCAAACAGATTGCCCTCTCACGAACAAGCGCCACAAGACGCATCGGGGTCGACACAACGATGTCGTACCCAGACAGCGCGTTCTTGCTGTCCATGCCCGTCGCAGCCGCGGCTTTGGTTGCACCCGCTTTCGTCAGCAGACATACGCGCAACCTTCGCCCGCGCGAGAGACGAACCACATCACGATGTATCTGCGCAGCAAGCTCACGGGTCGGGGCGAGCAAGATGCCTCGTACACCAGACGCCTGAGGGTCTGCGCGCTGCACCCCCAGCCTGAGTATCATAGGCATTACGAAGGCAGCTGTTTTTCCTGAGCCCGTTGGGGCCGCTGCTAGCAAGTCCCGGCCAGCAACAAGGATGGGCACTGCTTGCATCTGCACAGGCGTGGGTTCCTTCCACGCAGACTCTTCGACGTTGTGCAAAAGAACACGCCTCGTCTGGGCCGCCTCCTTCGAAGTGGACGCTGATGGCATCTCCGAGAAAGACGCCATCGGGTCCGCAACTTCTTCACCCTTCACCTTGATGCCCATTCTCCGCCGAAAGCATGCAACCTCTTCCAGACGAATCAACCTCGCCTTCGCTTCTCCTGTTTCCACCCCACCCTTCACGGCAATACCATTGCCACTTTTACCCTTCGCTTCTTCCGAAGGCCTGCTCATGTTGCCGAACAACGCCAGATTCGCTGAATCACCTGTTTTTCCTTCGGAGGATGCGCGGGCAGCCGTATTCGCAAGCACACCATTCACTTCAGCTTGGCTGGCTGCTGAAGCTACTCCCATTTCTTCATCAGCGGTCGCCCGCCTCCTCTTTTTTCCAGCCGCGCTACTGGGAGCACCAGCGGCACCGAAGAAGCTGATCGAGGATTGTGGTGGCGGGCGGGGGTTCCTCTTTTCGCTCGCTGGCTGCTGTTGTGCCTTCTCCTTCCTTCCGAACGCGGCACCGCTCCCCAACATTTCGAGTAGTTCACGGGAGGACATTTACACCTCCACGTCCGCGTTATCTGTGATCGACCGTGTCTACCACACACTACGGCCGCGGCTGTTTGTGGTGACTTTTATCTGTGGGCTGTGAGTGGCTGGTGGGTCAGTGGTGGAGCTGCAGTGGTGACTGGTCTCTGGTCACACAGCAACAAAAAGGTTCGCAGGCAGGTTCGCACCCCCCCCCACTCTAAATTGCCATTCCCAGTTTTGTGGCCCCCATCGAGAACCTCCAAGGAACCTGGGCGACTTTTCGACTTCAATGCCGTTTCGTTTTGGAATTCAACGCGTCTTCGGCGGTAGCATTTACCTGGCGCTAATTCCATTTATCCATGTGACTCCGGCGCGTGCTTGTAGGACCCGCCTTCGTGTTCGCTCGTCAGCAGAGGTACGACAGTAGAAGTTCTGGTGCCTACACATGGATGAAATACAGGAGCTCGTTCGGCAGGTCGTGCGGCAATGTGCTTCGCGTGGCGTCACCGTGTCCGAGGTGCTGGCTGCATTCGTGGCAAGGACGGTGAGTGCGAGCCCCAGAATACTGAAACAAGTGAGATGAAATAGTTGAATGGGCTGTGGAGGGGGGGGGTGGGCAGCGTAGTAATGGACGGGGGGGGCAGCATAGCAATGGGCGCCATATGGCAATTGGCCTCTGAAGGCCCGTATATTGCAGAAAAATTATTATGGCATCACACAGCAAACCCTTGCCGAATCATGCAAGTGAATTCGGAACGGTCGCAACAATATCCTTTCACAGGTGATTCAAAAGCCGGGCTTGAATGGCCAAGCATTATTCAGCTTAAACAGCCCCTTAACTCAAGAAGGGCTGAGCGATTTGATCGACCGGAGTGTTGACAGGCTGCTCGAGGTGGACTCCCCATCACTAGAAACGATGAAGATGCAGGTTGCGGTGGACTCAAGCTACATCTCCGAGGAAGAGGGTCTAATGAACTCACACCAACGGCGAACAGCAAGATTAAGGGAGATGCAACGAACCATAGCAACAATGCGACCAAAGGATGGAGCTGATTTCGACGCCCTAACTGCTCTTCATCGTCAGGTGCCTCTCATACCCACATATTTTTATTCCTTCACTGTAGAAATGCCTATCGTCGATGTGAACAATCGCAAACACTGCGTCCGTAGTTATCCATTGTCGCTGCGATGCACGGCAGCAGCACATCTCGGCTTGGGCTACGCCCGTGGGATGAGCATGCAGGTAACAACCCACATGTATTCCATTCCTTTCTGATGTCTTCGCCGTTGTCAGCTCCGACTGCTAGTCTTTGCGTCGAGGACCCGTACCACCGGCCGGCGAATAGACCATGTAGCGGTGTTCGTCATGGCGTTGTTCGTTGCGACATTGTCTCAATGCGTCCAGCGGGTTGATTTTCTCGAATCCTGTACGAAGTACGAAGTACGAAGTACTGCTTCATTGGATGGCCAAGTTCCATCCATTATTATCTTTGATCCACTGTACTACGTGTGGGGTGTGTGTTCTTGTGTGGTTCGTTTCTTCCACGGGAGAGGTGCGTAGGTAGGTAACCCCGCCTTATACTGCTTGCTGGTACTCGTGCTACTCCGGCGCTTTCTTACCCTCTATCTTGCAATTAAAACGCCGCCCCAGCAACACAATCGTGAGAATACAACGAATACACCGTGAAGACATTGGCTTCTTCTCGGCACAACGCGTGCCCGTACCTAACGCATGTCGTTTGGACCTGGTATTTATTTGCCGTTGCCTACACAGATATTTTCTTACCTTCTTCGGCATGCGAGCGATGATTCAAGAGTAGGGCGAGAAGTTGAGCGGGAGGTTGCGGCTGCCCTCGAAAGTGTTTTCCCGCGCATTAGCCTCAAAGCCTTCATCAACCTCGGAAGTGAGGAGAAGTACGCTCAACTCGACGAACTCGCAAATATTGTTCTGGGAATTCGGGTGTTCAACCAGCATATTGGTAAAGGCGGTATCAACGTTCCAAACCCCGAACAAGAAGCTGCGACGCTCCTCCTAGATATGGGACGTGTGCTTTCAGACGAACTCGAACAGGCGCAGCAAACTTGTGCAGAACTCCAGCAAGTCATTGTCCACAGTGAGTTGCGGCATCCTCAAGGGGTTACGGCGGACATGCTCAGCCGCTGGAAGGACGAGTTGACCAACAAGCGGCAATACTTGTCGTATTTGCAGAGCTTACAAGAAGATATGGCAGTGTCTGATCGCAAAGTTAGTTTACTCCGCGACACCATCAGGTCCGAAATGCGCGATTTGGAGGAGCTGGTGGGAAATCGCGCATCAGTTCCCAAGGAGCACGTTTACCCGAAGTTCTATGAAATTGCTACTCACTGGACGGCACTGTATCGAGAGTACAAGGTAATATCCGGACGGACAAGAACTACAGACGTCCTCCGGGCGTTTCGAGATTCGTACACCCCAACAATTCGAGGGGGACTGGATATTCAATCAGGCGAGCTCTCCGCTTTAGAGGAGAATGCTCGGGCAGCCGAAGCGGCCGTTGGCATCACCAGCACAAACGTGGAGCCGACAGGTGCAACAGAAAACAAGCCACCCCTAGGTGACACAAACGAGGGCAAGGATGCCGATGAGGAAGGGCGCAGAGGAGACACTAGCGACCATATCGAAGAACAGCCCGGACCAGGAGGGCAAGGGCCCGCCATCGTTCGTCGTGAAGACCAGTCGACCGAACAGCCGGTGAAACTATCTATTGAATCTACACCAGAGTTTATGCAGCTGCCGCTGGAGTACCAAGGATTTTGTTCGTGGACCATCGTCAAGAGGCAAGGCTTGCTTCTTCCCGGCAAGCCTGAGCTCGGAGTGATTCGGTACAAAAACCGATTCTTTGTATTCGCCCATCAAGTCGCCATGGCGACCTTCATGACCGATCCTGAGTTGTTCTTGAAGGCCACACTCGAGCGTGCTGTGGCATCCCCGGAGCTAATCCATCTGCTTCGCCTTCAGGATTCATTCCCCGAGACATGCATCACTCGCATGTTGCAAGGTGGTAAAAATGGCAACGGCAAAGGTCGCCCCAGCCTTGCTTTGGCCCCTCCAGAAAAGCGTGAAGCTGGCACCGACACACCGGTGCACTTCATCGAGAAGTGTATCGACCCCGAGTATCACTGGAACGAATGGGTCCTTCGCCGTAGGGCACTCCAGGTGGCCAATTTGCGGAACTGCGTTACCAAATCGCAGCAAACAGATGGCTCCCACTTCAGGAGGGTGAACGATACCCAGGTATACCTACCGCGGCCTAAGCTCACGCAAACCAACAGCAACAGTGGGACCAAGCCCCCCCGGCATGTTCAATACTTCGGAGGTGAGCGTGTTCTTTCATGGCTCCACAGTCGAGACCGGTGAGCACAAGCAACAACGGTTTGCACGTTTTTTCGTCACGTCGTGCAAGTACAGCGACCCAAGACGAATGTTGGCATTTTTTTCCATCAGTGTTGAGTTTGGAGACAGCCATTGAACGCACCCCAGTTGCGCCGTTGCACATGCACGCAACTTGTTTCACCTTCTCCTAATCCCTCCATGACAACCGTCCTTATCCTGCAGATAGTAACGAATTCCCTTGGTCATTTCCGCAGATTCTAAAACCAAGGTATTGCATCTACATGAGTGAAATAAAAATGCCGGAAGGGTCTGCAACTTGCTACAAAAATGGAACCCAACTACAACGCTCAGTCCTGAATCGTGGCATGGCTTCAACTGAAGCTCGCTTGTCCCTTCGCGTGTCATGTGTCATGATGACAGGTCTGATGTCACAGTACACCGACCATGGAGATGGGCAAGACAGGAGGCCAGCTATGGTGAATTTCAAATTTGAGATTTAACTCCCGGAACTCTGAACAAATGGTGGTACCCACGATGTGCACCGCTTGCTGATACTGAAAACTGCTTACACTAAACCAGAAAGCAAGAACCGTATTCCAAATTACAAAAAAAAAAGCCATTCAGCTGAGAGGGGTTTCGTCAGTTCTTGCCCTCTTGATGCCTGCGGTAGCAACAGTTGAAGCCGCGCCTTCAGCAGCCCTCTTCCTCGCCCCCTCTCCACTCTCCGGAGCCCGCTCGACCACGGGTGTACCGGCCGTCGCAAAAGCGTACGGGTCCGGCGGGAGGGCCTGCTGCTGGGGGGCTGCCATGTGAGGCCCGTAGTGGTCGGTGGAGTGACGACTGTAGGGATCGACGGCGTGTGGGTAGTGCTGGTAATACGCTAGGCCTCCGTACGGAGGGGGTCCTGTCGGGCTTGTTCCGGCGGCGGGCAAGTACTGTTGCACAGGATACTGCGGTGCCATGTGCTGCGTTGTCTCCGGCTCGACCGGAGGTGCTTGCGATGCTGCTATCGCCATTCGTGGCATCTCCTGGAACCTGTATGCTTCACTCGCTGCATGCATTATTCCACTTGCTGGTGGTTCTGGCTCCGGTGCGGGAGGTGGCCCCGGGTCCGAACCAGCAAGCTGAGTCAGGTCCAGCGTTCCTGAGGTCATGGAAGGGGTTAGTGGTGCGCACCAGAAAATATATGGTCAATAAAGATCAGCACAACCATCGCATTCGCCCTGAATCCCCGAGTGCAAATTGGCCGGTAGTAATGCCGCAATTACACGGTATAGACAACGTGCCAGTGCTTGCTCACCGAAGAAATACTCCGCCTCCGGCGGGGGCCACATACACGTGTTGCTGACGGGGTCGTCGCCGCCTGTCTCTTCCTCGCCCTGGGGTGCGACCTCTACCGGCGCCACAGCAGCGGCAGCAACACCGCGCTCCTTGAGAGCATTCACATCTATCGTGCCATGGGTGTACTGTCCACCCTTCTTCTTTGCGCATCCGGGACACTCGAAGTTGTTGAGACTCTTGTCACCCTCCTGATGTGGACAACGCGATACGAAGATATGGGCGGCAGACCAAACGTCAGAAAAAAAAAAATTACCCCGGGGATGCATCACTAATGGTGGTTAGTGGGAGAACGCGGAATGTTCACCATATTGCTGTATCTCACCTTGAGGTTGACGCAGCTCCCGTGGAACCATTGATCACAATCGTCGCACTGCACCATAAAAGTGCCGTCGTTTGGACCTCGGCAAAGGCAGTAGCGGTTGCCTCCATCGTCTAGGGCTGCCACAACCTTCGGCTCCAACGAAAGAAGCACGGGGATATGCTTCGCTTCTTCGAGGAGCTTCTGGAGAGTGTCAACATCGATGAGGCTGTCGACGTTCTCTGCTGGGCCGCGAAATGCATCTCTCACAGATGCCTCCCACAGCGAAGCCCTCTTCGCCATATGCCCCAGGGTTTCCAGCAGGTTATGGTCTACTTGTGTGAGTTGCGACCCTTGCGACACGAGGTCGTACAGCAGGATCACAGATGGAGGCTTTCGCACTGCCCACTGCGCCATGGTGCACCACAGCAACACCCGCAAACTGCACAGCATAGCCCTGCGACCCAAAAACGAAACAGGTAAAAAACGCAGGGTCATCTTGTGACTGCTCACAAACGCAACGCCGGCAAGTGCAGCCGAAACAAAAAAGAAACATTCAGAAGTCTTTCAAACTGAGGCTCAGCAAATTTTTAGCACGAATAGACGCTTATCGACCATATAGGCGCAAGGGACTCACCCACCACAGGCCTCTTTTTGCTGCCTAAAACAGTTACTTCCTCGCATTGGAATCCGAGCATGCATCGCGAACGAAGTTGTAATAATTCTGAAATAATTCAAGGCCACTGATCAGCTGATACGCATTTGAATATGTATACACAGCAAGGGCGTGTCTCGCTGCTCACCTGGCGTGTTGGTGCTGCTCTTCTCCTGAAGCAGTTTTGCCCCAGGGAAGTGTTGAGAGTGCGTTGATGTTGTTATCCACCTCGGACAACACCCCAAGGCTGGTCCTTATCTTTTTGCGGGGAAGGTTCATGGCGTCTCGTACTACCCCAGCCAGGGCAGCAAAGTTCTGCGAAGATTGCCAACGGTCCCGACCCGGCGCACCTGCATACGCAACCACGGATCCCTTCATATCAGTGCTCGGCAATCTTCGCGACGAACAAAACGTTCCATTCCCGTCTCCAACATCTAACAGAGCAAGGTCTGCGAAAAACTAGACTGGACCTCACCTGATACATCACCGAGGGGTGCCTCATCGAACCCTGCCTGGTCCGCGAAGCACGTGGACGGCATCCAGCGCTTCATCGCCGTCAGCATCGCTTGTTCCGCGCTGGTGAAAAGGCTGCTGATGCGGCAGCGAATGCACTTGAACCCTTCCTCAGATGCCTCTAGAGCCGCAGCTTTCTCTGGACTGATGCCCATGCAAATTTGGTGGTAACCTTCCCCACATTTCTTGCAATCCACTAAGGGACCTAGATCCTCGCCAGGCCTGCTACAGATGCAGTAGCTGCATGTGGCTTGCTTTAGGACACGAATATCGTCGGTCAGGTCGACGCGAATATCGGCAGCTTCGGGAATCATGGACTTGAGCTCGTTGATGCTTGCCGTCCCTTTCTCTATACCCGTCTTCTTCAGCCGTGTCGTCCACCTGAGCGCCAGCTTTTGTTGATGCTTCAAATCCTTGAGCTTCTTGCCGGATGTCTGTGCACCGCGTCAAGAGGGAAGGAATGGGGAATTCCGTCACACCATCTGCTACTTGTAGCATAACACAACAAATCCGACTTGTTGACCAGGGTTTATCGAGGAAAATATACAACAAATAACACGACGCCTGGCAGTTTTCACCACTCTCTCACCTTGATTTTCTCTCCTTCCACGATAAGTTTCTTCAAGGCGTTAAGGCCGAGCTTGGGCCCTTCTAGAGCAGAATCAGCCTTGACCCCCCATGCCCTGCATCGTCCCATCTCTGCCCTAATCTTTTTTGACATGTCTTCATTCTCCACCCCCACATCCTCAGCAGTTTTGAGCAAGTTCTCGAAGTCCTCCATCGTGACGGTCTCCCTGCCGACTAACTCCTTAGCTTTCGCCATCCACGCTTCTGCTTTTTTCAGCTTTTTTTGGATCTCTTCCACCTTGCCCTGGTAGCAATTGATGACAACCTCCAAAGACTTGACGATACTCGGCGTTAGCGCTTTCCCCTCCAGTTCGTTGTCAACGTTGAGGTCAAGTACACCTTTGCCAACCTTGACGATATCCTTCGCCTGGCTTAGCTGCAAGCCGTCGCCAGCAAAGGACGCGCTTTCCCTTACGCTCCTGATCCACAAAAAGAAACAAGGGGCTCCGTAAGATCGAACGATGACGTCGAGTTAACACTGCAGACTTGGAAATTCTATGATTGGAATGAAGATGACTCGAGCGGACGGCACCAAGGTCGAATAACAAGAACACTCCGCGGCGCCTCTTCCAGACTGGTTCTGCACACCGAGGCCCAACATTTCAAAACAGCAAAAACTAGACTCGGAAAAGTTGGCATGTCCAGCACCCGGATTGACACCGTAGTACCAAGATTGGTTTTGGGTTGGAGTCAGGCTCTTGAGCATTTAGACAAATTCAGTAACCTAACTTTTTTTTTTCGAAAACCATGGCTTGATGTTTTTGACCTTCGTTCGGCCAGCGAGTTTGGCCGCTGCCGCTCTTTTGTGTGGTGCGTTGGGGCATACAGGCGGAATAGCGGGCGACGAAGGTGAGGAATTTTAATGCATCCATTCAACGAAATCTAACGTCCCCACAGCAAATGGCACTAACGGAATTGAATCGCTAAACACCAGCACCGAACGTGCTCGGACCATTTCAATCTAGAATGTTGGGGAAGAATGTTGGCCTGTGTCAGTAGCGAAGAAATGAAGGGTGAGCCAACGTAATGTAGCTAAGTGGTTGTGTTTGAATGCCCGGGATCACGTTTTCAAGCAGGAGATCGCGATCTAGGAAAAACACAGAGGGGCAGATTATTGTGCAAACAGGAGCCAATTTCAGCCCGAAACGCGGATTAGCCGCCAAGAAAGACGCCTGGAGAGACTGCAATCTCTGGCTGTTCAAATTTTCTTGCTGTCCAAGTCCTGCGGGCCGCTCATGCCTTGTGCGGTCCATCACATTGTTGTACGACGTGTCGGTGGCAACGTTCGTCCAGTTCGCGGTAGTAGAGATACACGCCAATGTATGGCGATACTGATTTGTCTGTCGTTCTTGCACTACTGCGCGGATAGATTTGGTTTTTCTCTCTCCCCACAGTACACGCATAAGTCAGGATGTTCTCGCCGACCGTCAGGCACACTTATCATTTACTATTTGCCTTGTGGCCCATCGCCTCAAACCCTTGTGTTCTCATACCTGGCCCACCCGATGATCTTTTGCACTTTCTCTGCCACGAGCTCCTCGGGCATGAATACGGTGATGTCCCTAGACGTTAGAAGGAGTTGCTCCAATGCCTTTCCGATTGCCTCCTCTGCTTCGTCCAGTTCGTCCTCACGGTCCACATCGTCGCTTTCGTCGTCTGAGTCGCCATCGTTCCCAACACCAGCTGGTTTTCTTTGTCGGTTCTCGTATTTTTTGCCTCCCTCTGCTGCTTGAATGCGCTGTGCAGAGTCTTCGGGAATTTCAGAAGGCTGCCTTTCCTGCCGTGAATTTCCTCTTTGTCGGCACTCTTCGTCTTCCTTACGCCAGAGTTCCTTCCGTTCGACTGTTTGGTCAGCCAAGTCACTGCACGCCTTGTCAATTACCGACTGTGCGCTTTGCTGGCATGACTCAGCCTCAGCAATGTGCCTCCGAACTCGGTTCACCTCGTCCGTGACCCCCACTGGCGAGGCCAGGCCTTCTGCTATTAAGCTCTTAAGGCGATCGAAGGTTGGCTTGCTACTGGGCTGGACGCGGCGCTTGCTTTGGCGCCGAGGACACAAGCTTTGACACTGCTCGATCCAATCGTTCGCACGTTGCAACACCGCGCGCATTTCTCGCACCTCTTTCAGGCTGCGGCCAACCGCGATCTTCTCCGCTGCATGGATACAGGCCGACAGATTCTGCAACGTGATCTTTTCCCCAGCCGCTCGGGACCCCGCCCCCCCCCCACCTGCGCCGTACGAACAAATTTCGCGTGTATCGCCTTGCGAGGTGTTACCGTCAACATCCATCTTGGTGATACTTCCCTCACCACCGCCCACGGGGCCTGCGTGTTTGGAGGACGCATCGCTGCTAGTAGCATTCGCGGTGTTTGGGTCCCGATCATGCAACGGCGGCAGTCCAGAACATAGCCCAAGCGGACGCAAAATGTGCTCGTAGTCTGCGCGCCACTCGCAAAGATCTTTTACCGCCTGGCGCAGAGAATCCACCTGCAGAGCAAGACATGGGCGCGGAGGTAAAGGCTGGATTCTCAAAACCTGTGTGTGTGTGCGGGGAAGCAATATCTGGTACTCATGAGCTATCGAAAGGTTGTGGACACTTGAATTTCGCACTTGTGACGATAAATGGCGCGCTCTCTTTCGTTCACCATGACTAACCTCGGGGGAAAGGTTAACTTTGATTGACTTCGCCTCCTCCAGCAAGTTGAGTAGGTGAGCGGCAGACATCAAACGCCCAGTTTGCATGGATTGAATGCAGTTCTTTGCCTTGGTCGTCCACGCCTTTCCCCGTTTGATGAGGGCTTGCAGCTTGCTCTCGTCTAGAAAGGCATACACCCGGTGGTTCTTAGCATCCTTGGGGAATCCCGCCCGCAGCGTTCCGCCCTGACAAGTGACAAACGCATCGTGTGTAGTGCATCGACAATCGTCAATGAAAACGATGAAAGGGTGCAATGCCTCAATGCCGAAGGATTCGCGTTGGTCGATCATCGATCTGAGACAAGACGATCAAGGTGGAGCACTGCTCCCCAATACCAGTGAAAGACAGAGAAAGGGGCCATGAAAACTTGCACCAAACCATTACAGCCCTCACCTCGGTTGCGAGGTCTTGCAGGGAGTGCAGTTTCGATTTACCGGCAGCAAGAGTAGCATCAACGCGAATCCGCCACTGTCGCGACTTGATGCCAACTGTGAGCAGTTGTTGCTCCTCCATTTGGACTGGAATGCCTTCCGCCTCGATGAGCAGGGCTTCCAGTGCCTGTAGCGTGGTCGGTTCGCCAGACTCGAGCATGTCCTTCACTCGTGTCATCCACTCTTCTGCATTTTCGATTAGGTCATTTGTATGGCTGAATTCCTTCATGTCCATTTCCACTCCAGTAGTCGATGAAGATCTGAGCAGACCCTTCACATGGCTCAAGTCCACCTGTGGCCGACCCAAGCGGGTTCAATATGATTGCGGACGAGTTGTAGGACCAAGCAGTTAGCGTGTACGATATGGTTCAAGGGGAATACAGCAGTACTGGGAATGGTCGGGTAACCAAGATAAACTTACCAGGTACAGCGAACGGGTTATTGAGCATGTAACCATCCTTGTAGAGGAAGCCAAGCGTAGTAGCAAGAACAAACACCGCAAAATCACTACCGCCGTAGAGGTGGCTGCAAGTGACCCAAGCACAACGTTAGGCTTGCAAACTTCGTCAAAACAATAAATGGGAAGCACCTTTTCGGCCTCAGCATCCGGAGCGTTGCGCCGGGTTGATCTCTGCTTTGGCACAGCCTTGCGAACCTTGTCCAGCCACACGCGTGCTTTGTCCATCTTGGCGCGAAGTTCAGAGAGTTTCGGGCCCGGGTCCACCGCCAGCTTGTCGGCCTCGGTAAGGAGCTTGTCAAGCTCGCGGAGCTGGATGGAACCCGCCAATGCAGCTCTTGCTTTGCTAAGCCAATCATTCACGGCGGCAAGGTGTTTTTTGAGCCTGGACGATTCCGGAAAATCTAACCCGGACGCCTTCACTCTGTCCATTAGCGTTTGAGCCTTAACGTTCGAGACAGGGCAAACAGACAGGCCAGTCATGTGTGAAGGCGGGATGATATCCACCGATCGCATCAGGAGGTTCTGGTCGCTATAATTCTAAGTAAGCGCAAACCGTTTGGGCATGGGCGGCACGTACCGTAGCCAAAGCCGGTTGTGGCTTCAAGCGTCGACCAGAAGGAAACACCTCCGCGATGGTAGCTGCCAACGCGGTGGTACCTGAGTCAGGACATTGTCGGGCAGAGTGAAGTCAACAAGTGACGTGCAGAACCGTACTAATTGAAGGTACGACGCGTCTGTGAATGTTGGTCAAGAGTTTGAGGAACTCAGGGCGGTGACCGATTCTACCTTGCATCGACTTTCTGCGGAACACACGATATGCATCACTGAACGTGTTTCAAAACAGATCCACATCTCACTTTGAACTCGTTCCTGTAGTTGTAGTCTCTGGTCCAAGTAGACAGGAATGAGCTCCGCCTCGTCGAGGACGTTACGCAGAGTCGAAAGCTGGACGCAGTTCGAGCGCCCGGCTCTACCCCGGACCGGAGCTTGGAGAGTAGTAAGGATTTCGTCCACCTTGCGTTGCCATTCACCAGCCGCGTGAATAATGCGTGCCACCTCATCCGCCTCCGCAACGCTCACGTTCAGATTGTTTGCTTCTGACAAAAGTCTCTGGAGGTCCGCTATGCTAGCAGCACTGTCCCCGTTCACCTTTCGTGGGTCCAAGCCCGGATTGAGAACGTCCGCGACGTTCGCAACCCACTCTCGGGCCTTCGTTACCATATCCCAGATCAATGCCACCGATTGTTGAGCCTGGTCCACGAAATCCTCTGCTCGAAGGACCGTACGAACCCATGGAAAGGGGGACGAATGCATCAAGGTCAAACACAAACCCCTTGTCCCGAGCACATGCTACTCTAACACAATGAAGACTGCCCTAGACTCCCAAGGCTAAGCAACAGCCGTTCACAACTGCGCCACATTTTCACAATCGATGTCGTGTGGAACCTGGGTGGCTTTCTCGCCCCTTCGCCATTCCATCGCTGTTTTTCTTTTTGTTTCATTCAAATTCCTGCAGGTGCCCCAACCTTCTTGACTGCATGAGGATCCCTGCGGCCTACTGCTCTTCCCGAGGCGATGCTTGCATGCGAACATTGAGAGCGAGTACACACGATAATTCTCGTCCGCCGAGCGTATTCTCGAACTCGCGTAGCGTATATGCGTGTGTTGTCGCATACGTAACGACCCCAACATCTCCAGTACCAACGAAGTGACAAACCACCGAGGCGACCGAGAATGTTGACAGATACTTCGGAGTACAATTTTGGTACCAACCGCTCGGGAAGCATGAGTACTTTTACACCAACTCATAGAGATTGAAAAGGCATACACTGCAACACAGGACTTAAGGAACAGAACCACGACCTGTCGGGCACATTTAAAGAGTAATCCCAGAGAGGGTACCCGCCTACCTCCAGGGGCTTGCTCCGGCGGAGGGAGAGAGGCGGCCTCGTCCAGAATAGCAACGCACTGCTCAAGAGACGGTTTTGGGGAAGGTTTGCGGGTGTGGCGAATTCCGCGCACTCGCTCTTGCACTGCTTTCCAGCGATTCTTGAAGGCAGCCCTGTCCGCACCTCGTCGGGATCTAGCGATTATGAATAACAAAACGTGAGAAGCGTGCAAGCCTGGTGCTACAGCAAGTCAAGAGCACGAGACGAAAAGCACAAAGTAGATAGCATGGTGCAGGTGCTGCAAAACGAACCGCATGATGAGGGGAGAGTGCCGGCTACACATGCCGAACAACGTGAGCCGTTCGAAATTATCATACCCTCTGGGCGGTGAGGCCCATCTACAATGCACTAACGGAGGAGACGAAAACCGACTTGAACCACACGAGTCGTCATGGGCAAACCCGAAAGCAGTCCGAAACATAATATGTAGCAAGCAGCACAGCAGCACCCAAGGCTACAAACAAAACCCGACCTCGCATCGACGAGTAGATGCTACCGACAATACTACTTTGAATCTTGCGGGATAGGTCTGTTGCGGCCGTTTTCATAGCTTGGGGGCATTAGAGCTGTGGGGTGAGTGCACGTAGGAGGTGGATATAGGATTGCCCACGACGTGTACAACGCTGCCTTTGAATGTTGAAGGTGACTGCTACTAACATTCCGCCGAACCTTCACCGACAGTTGGGAGTCGATGTGGAAGGTGTGCGATCCTTGGTTTTTTGGTGCACATGGGATAGATCCTAAGGCATGTCGTCTTGTAGGTGCTAGGTTGGTGCACGTTGCAACAGCTAGGCGGTGACTTCACCTCGGCGGCATTCTCACGACGTGTAGGACACCACAAGAACGTTAGAAGCATCGCACTTCGACATCGAAATTATTGATGTCGTCAAAGCTGTACCTGCTATCTACACCAGAGAAACACAGTACGCTCAGGCACAGCAAGCACAAACTCCTCCCGACCAACACATGTCGAAACATACAACGGTAGGCCGCATTGACGCGACCGCGCGTCTGAAACTCCTTCATGATCTTTTTCGGCCCCTCGCTACCGGCGCTGCCAGACCGCGGCAAGGCGGCCGGGGACTACTGTAGGTACCACATAAAATTGCTGCTGGCAGTGCGGCAAAAGATTGAGATTCCCAGATGAAAAACATCCAGGACAAATTTCGAAGAACCGGATTGGACCCAAGCTGTTGAACTCATGTACTACAAGTACTGGGGGAAAAAATGTTTGGCGTCTCACCGTTCCAAGTCCTGTGGGACGGTAATGGGTCCGACTTCGGTAACATCTTCTTCTGCCTCGCCGGAGTCGGCAGCGTCGTCGTCATCCCCGTCGTCACATCCATCCTCCTCCCGCTCTGGATCCCATCCAGTTTCCTCTTCGTCTGAGGAATTCTCCAAGTTCTTCCGAACCAGCTCAGAGGGGTACATGTAGCCTCCAGCGTCGGAGCTCTCAAAGAAGCCTAGCGCGTTAAAACGCCTGGTATACGCGGATTGCCAGGATGATAGCTGCTGGGGTGGCCCTCGCTTGGCTTCACTCACCTCAAGCGACCGTCCACCTGTACTTGCCCAACCGCGCACATAAACGCGGCGGAAAACGTGAGTTTCGCACTGTAGAGAATTTTTCGAAACAAAGGCCCGCGAGCGATCACATCTTCAAGCATTCAGAGAGATTCGTGCAGGAGCTGCAGCCAGGTGCACCCGTTGCAGAACCACGTCGGCAGAGGTCCAGCAGACCTGCACTGACATGTATCTCCTGCTAAGCTTTGAATAATATCTTCGTGAGAAATCTCTGCACATGAGGTGTTTACCATTCGCGAATAACAGTACCTGACGCACCAACCTTCAACTCTTCTTGTGCACCCCATCTTTACCCCATTCCCTTCCCGTAACCCTAGCCGGAACACCATCGATTGGTATGAGACCAGTGTACTGGCGACCGTGGATAGTGCTAGGTTGGCGTGCGACGTGGTAGGTCAAGCTATGCAGTGCGTGTGACAGCTGTATTCCGAGATGAAAACCGCCAAATGCCATTGACTGCGAGAGTTACGCTAACGTTCGGAGCTCTACAACGGTACAGTAGTAGTGCGCTGGTACAAGCGCATCTTTTGTCAAGCGATTCTCAATTCTGGATCCTAATCAAAGCAACACTGGACTAGAGTTAAAATGCATATCTTCTTCGTTCGTCTCGACAACCGCGTGTCCACTCTTGTCGCAAAGGTGCGGAACACTGGACGCTTCCCGACGTTTCTAGTCCCGAGAAAAGCCACTCGGGTGAGAAAAACAGCCAGATTTCCTCCTGCTCCAGCCCCGTATCGCACCTGCACCCCCGGAGACCTGGCTTGTCATATGAAACTGAGCGCGACTGAGATCGCCCGCGTGCTTGTGGAGAAACTCCAGTGCCATCTCATCCGACTCGTCTGGAGCTAGAGAGTTGTTGGCGCCATGCCGCCACTTGAAGACGTCCGAATCGTACCCTCCGACAGCTTCCCCTGAAGACTGTTGCAGAAGGTTTCTCCCGAACAGGAGGAATCGGTCCACTGAGGGAAAGACAGAGAGCAGAGTAACGCTTCTAAGCGTTGCGTTCGCGCCAGCTGGGCCAACAAGGATCTCAGAGAAAACATCAAAGAAAACCAGCACTCCTCACGCCCTCCTACATACCACCGATGTATTGATTCTCACCTTCGCTTCGTCCAATTAGAGAGGGTGACCACACGCAATTTTCGTGCGCTGACACCTGGCCCGGGCGGAGATCAGGAGTTGCTGAAAAAACAAAACAGAGTACAAGTAGACAACAGGACGTGCAAAAAATCAGGGACGATTACAAAACAGGGGTTGGAGATGTTGGAGAATTGGAGAGAGCGAACGCAACAAGAGGGACAACCCTTTTCTTTCCACACAAAGAACGTACAGAAATCGTATGGCGCACCGCGGCGAAGATCCGACGCACGCCACACTGCCTACCCAAGGTTAAATACATACGCAGGTCGTTGCTTGTTGCACAGCTGTGTGTACAGAAACGTTTGTCTTCGGCCGTAAAGCGTGGCTTTCTCAAGGTGTGGCACCACAGCAGTATCTCCTGCTAAAAGGAGGGGATACAGCTTCCTCACCAGCACGCGGAGACGACGATCCCCTCGTAACCGCTCTATTAGAATCCCCGCCTTGCAAAGCAGGAATGTCTGCTTGATACATCCTTTGGTCGATCCGAGGCTCCTTGTATGGGTAGTGTGTCTTCTTCACCTCCTGGGACTGGCTGCTGCCTATTTGAAGCATGGGATGGTCTCGGGGTGAGGCAATGGTATTGCTCTCGAGTCTCTCCACCCCACGCCCCGCCGTCTCACGCACGCTATTGGAAGAAGGATTCCCTCCGATTCCTAATAAATCCATACCACACGCCCTCTCCGTGCAGCGTGTCGTGCAGCGTGGTTTGTGGTCCGGTCCAGTTTTTGTGCAGGACGCCAGGGGGGTACGCAACCTGAACACCAAGCACGGTACGCGCTAAAGGTGGGGTTCCGCCGCTCTCACTCTGGCCTGCCGAGACGGCCGAGACTGTGTGCAGTGCGGTCGGCGTGTTCTACCGCGTTGTACGTCTCTTCACTCTTCACTCGACCCTCTTCACCCTTCACCCTGCCCCGTGTTTCCCCCTTTTCTGACCCACTCCAGTCTCCAGCGGGATCTCACAACGGGTTCTGCGACGGGTGCGTGCGAAAGTACAAGCAGAGGCGTGTGTTGTACATACTTATATACTGGTGCCCTTATATTTGGATGTCCCTCGCACGTCAGAGGTGGCGGATGTATGTGTATGTCACTTCGTTGGAGTATCTATGAAAGACGAAGGATTCGGTGTAACCGTGAATACGTGGTTTGTGGAAGCGTTCCGGAAATTTCGTGAAAGAGCGGCAAGAGGCAAAAAAGGGTACACGGGGGTGCTGCTTTTATACAGGGTTCAAAGGAGAGAGGGTGGGGGGGGGGGGG